CATCCAAGTCTATGGAAATAGCTGAAAAACWCATCAACAGCCTTCACATATACATATGCATAAAAACAACAAACAAAACTATCASATCTCCCAAAATATGGATTGTCAACAACAGAAACTTGCTAATTACTATTTTAAGTATCCTTAAATTTTTAACTCTGGTGTTAATAAACTAAAAATTATGTAATCATGTATTTCAACTGTAGGACAGCTTATACAAAATAAGTCAATCAGTGTTTCAGAGTATATTTAGAGGATATTTTAAACATGGGCAAAAGCAAAGAGGTCTGTCCATTACAGGCTCTTGTTGTATCAGGCTGGGAGGCTACAAGGAGACCAAGAACTCTGGCTGGCCAAATGGCACAAACACCTGAACTACAGGGAATTCCCCTTTGATTCCTGCTTTGAAAACAACACAGAGAACAGAAACTATTATTTATATATATCGGCCCTTTACACACTACTGACAAGATCCTCTGCTTGCCCCAGAAACACCCTGTGTCCCACTCAGCTGCTGCCAGAGAGAGATGTGAGGCAGGGGCAACAGGCAGACCATCACTGCAAACCTGGAACACTTTCAAGGGCAACATTTGATTTTGAATTTTGGGGCATTGAAGTCAGCCTGCACAAACAAGCATGAAACTGCTGCAGCAGAGCTACAYTACTAACAAAGATTTTCTTGCTTCTCATTCTTTGCTTCAACCACTTCTGCTGCCACTGGAGGAGTCTAACAAGGCCYTTCTACTGCGTGGTGCTCTGCAGGTATGACTAAATCTGCCTTTTACCTCCCCAAGTGGACTATCACGCCTCCGTTACAGAGAGAATTTCTCAGAATGAAAGAGCCAACAGAAGTGGTTCCTCTGGGCATCTCAACAGCATTATCACAAAACGTGGTAAAAAGCATCAGAATAGCAGASAGTGATTCACTCCTGTTGGAGGCACCTGTTTGCAGAGCACTTCCAACATTGCAGCTGTGTGCACCTGCTCAGGGGCATGGCCCCAGCAGGAACAGGCATGGCTGACTGACCCTCTGGAGCACAACACTGGCTGCAAATGGATTGGTCCAGTGCAGCTTGCATTTCTGTTTTTGCCCTGAGCACAATCACGGCAGCAAAGGCCTGGAGTGACTGCTGGGCTGGTGGGGCAAGGAGAACTGCAGCACCTGCCAGCGCACGCATGCAGGGACAGGGTGGAAAGGACAARTCCCGTGGGTTTTAGGTACAGAACTTTGGGGAAAACCTAAGCAGAAAGAGAGCAGGTCAGGAGTGAGAGGCAGCACTGGGACTTCATGCAAAATGGAGGTGGAGGGAATTCAGAACACTGAGCTCTGGTTTGAGGGGGTGTGCCGTTTGCCTCGTGAGGAAAGGTACCCCACAAAGTCCCACAGGCTCTGAAATGCACTCAATTAGCTGTTCCTTTTACCTTTTTGTTCTACCCAGCATTTCTTCAAGAGCACTGTCATCTCTGGCTTTGGCATCCTACTCATCATCTATGAATTCATGTTGCCGTTTCCTCCCTGAAAGGAAAAATCCCATMGTCAGTCATTTGCTACACAGAGGAAAGGACAAATCTGACAGAGTATKTTTGCCACTGTTCAAGTTCAAAGACCACCTTGCTCCTTGAGCAGACAATATCGCATGTTGTGCTCTTGGCTATGTCGTAATTCAGCCACTATCAATCAGTGTGTGTTCTCTCCAGAAACTTACCCCGAAGTTACCTGTAAGCAGCTGAAAAGCTGTCAGTGCCTCAGCCCTGCCTGGAGAGAAGGAGCAGAGCAATGTCTTGCTCAGACTAAAAAACACCCAACAACAACAACAAGAGAGACTTGTGCCAGGAATATATCTTTATTTTACTTTAAAACATTCTGAAAGTGTTAATCTATATGAAAGAGAAGCAATACCAGACTGAGAAAGCATGTTTAATGTTAGGGAAGCCTTCAATTCACATCACATGAGCCAAATTAAAAATAAGACTAAACACAAGTGTACAAAGCAGAGACAAAAAAAAAATCAATTTTCTCAAAGACATAACATGAGGGACTCCCACAGGGGCCAGCAAATTCTGGAAGGGAGAAAGAGATTATATTTTATGGGAAGAGATTCAATAAGCATTCTTTTCCCATAAAGCTAGTGATGGAGGATTGTCACTGCTCCATAGATACCCTGTGCACATTTCAGGACAACAGTAACAGGAAATCAATAGCACCTTTTATACGTGTAAAGACATTATCTCTCTGGACTCCTAATACTAACAAATGGGACCAAGAAAGACCTTTACTAGAATTTAGCAGTCAGCATTACTCTGGCTGAGAACAGAGGAAAGGATGATGGTGTACATCCTTAGATTTTTAATTTTTTTTTAAACTAACTCTGCTCAGAGTGTCACCCTCGACTGGAACCCAGAAGCCCCCAATGACAGTACATCACAAGTGTAACGGTGCTGAGCCCAGGCGCTGTCACCCCGTCGCAGACATCCCCTCCAGCTGATGCTGTAGTCATTACAGGCAGGAGCTTTGTCAGGGGGTAATTTGACAGCTTTGACAAGCCCRGCTGAATTTATGGCACTTTCTAGTTTTTCCCTCCATTGAGCTGARATGGAACTAAAGTTAATATTAGCAAAACCACTGTGAATGGAGGCAGGYTCCCAGCACTGACTCTGTGATCCCAGTCACCAAGACAATCTGCTACACTGGGCCCTCACAGTGTCCCCTGCCATCCTCAGGGACAGGGAGGGCAGCTCCAYCCAGCCCACTCGTGACAGGAGATTCTGCGATGAAGGTCTCTGGTATCTCTGGCTCACAGCAGAGGTGAATTACCACTAGTGAGGCTACTCACAGCTTACTACAGAGCACACAGTGGAGCAGCAGCCACGGTGTCATAGGTCTGGCAGCACATGGCCAGCTAAACCCACGATCTGGGTGCTGAGGGCTGCCTCCCTTGCTGCAGGGACTGCATCCCACATGACACCACAAAGTTCCCACCTGTGAGTACTGATGCGGAAAGAGCAATATTTCACCCCAAGCCAAACCTTGGCAAGTCAGTAAAGCACCAATACYTCTTTTTCTTCCTTCTTTTTCCCATCAGATTGCTTTGTGCCATAGATAAACCCTCTGCAGGGTTTTAAAGAGCTCTCTCTACATGCTTAGAAAGCACAGTTCATATTTAGYTCCCTAAAGTCGTATTTCTCTCTCCTTATATTTCCCTGCCAAGATGTGACACCTGTGGAACGTTCCCARAAAATTCCCCTGAATCATCTGTGATGCAAGGGAACAGCAGCCAGCGTTGGCAATGAGCAGCTGGGTCTTTTAGGAAAGCGTTAGATCAATCTGGTGAGGGGAAGCATCCCCAGTAACTCTGGCACTAACATCCCCAAGGGCCACAGAGCTCCCAAATCAGTGAGAAAAAGAGCGTAATTACGACAGGACCAAAATCCATGGGAAATAGTGTTGCCATGGCAACTGRCATCCTCACAACTGGAATCTCCTTTGCATTCTCGCACAGACTCAATGACTCCTAAACCACGTGGAAAAAAAAAACCTGTCTAGCAGGTGGGTTCATTGAGGAAAAGCAGTGATAGAGGTGCTTCCCTGCAGAACAGAACCATTTCCACAGGGTTTCTCAGAAAGAGAGCCTTTGTGCACCTCCAAGCACTTCATCTCACTCACCAGGAGTGCAGAGGAGCTGCTATAACATGATCAATACTTCCTTGTTAACTACACTTGCATTAGAAAAAAAAAGTATTAAATATTAAAATGCTCCTGTTTTCAAATGAAAGTTACGTGAAGATACAAGCCAARGCAGATTAGCTGAGTTTGAAATGGGAGCACAGTTCCAGCTCCACRCTGGGCTGCATTGGTGTTAWTGAGTGSTCTTTCAAATATGACATTAGTACCCAAAACACACTCCAGCATCCCCACATATATAYCAGATCCAGCCACTCAGGAACATCCACTCATGAGCAGGAAAGCCCTTATTTTAATYCCTGACAGCCTTATCACAGCAATAACACCCAGTCTGTCTACCAGTATGCTTTAAATGAGGTTCAGATTAACGGACCGGCTAGGCAGCCCTTTTCCTAAAAGCTTTGAGCTCTGCATACTCTGGGGGCATTTCTTCTCATTTCGGTACTGGTCGGGCCAGGGGAGTGCCCGCTCATGGTTAACCCCCTGTCAGGGAASGCAGCACAATGCGAACCCCAGGGCCGCGTTCTCTATGCCAAAAGCCAAAGCAGCGTTACTGATTCAAGAAAAACTGCTCCAGATCYACTGACAAACGAGSGCTCGTTCTGCCCACGGTGTGCCCSTGCCAGCCGTGCTGTGCTCGCCTTCGGGTGCCGTGCAGGCTGATCTGCCCGGGACCTTCCGGACTTCCCCGCTGCCCCTCTGCAAACCCCGCCGGAGATGGGACCAGGTCATGGAACAGCGGCTCGATGGTGACAGCATGGTTTGGAAATCGCCTTCTTGTTACGGAGGAGAGAGGCCTCGGGGCACCGTCTGCACCTACAGGTCCCGTCAATGACAGGAGCGAGCGATGGCCCCTTGGGCAGGTATGGAGGGCCCTGCGGCAGCGAGACGGGCACTGGGAGAGRCACCGGGAGAAAAAGCGGGACGCGCACCGGCAGTCGCGGTCGCTGTCCCTCACGCTATCGCCCGGGAGCGGGGAGGACGGAGGCCCTGAGCACCCACGCACCGCCACAGCCGCCGCTGAAGACACGGAGCGACCGCGCCGGCAAAGACACGTCAGAGTGCCGGGGCGAAGAACGAGGGGAACGTGACGGGAGCGGAGCGGGTCGGTGCCGGTCGGTGCCCGGTCGGTGCCCGGTCCGAGCTCCCTCCCTCGCTCCCTCAGTCCCTCCCTCCCTCACTCACCCCTCACCGCCGCCTCCGCCGCCGCCGCCTCCTCCCGGCCCACGCGCCGCGCACGCGCACACGCTGGGAGGGGGGAATGGGGGGGGCGGTGCCCGCGCGCGTGCGCGTGCGGTCGGACCGCCGGGCCGGCAGGGGGCGCCGCAGCGCGCGGCGCGGGGTGAGAGGTCGGGACGATGGCGGCGGCCTTGGGCGAGGAGGCGCCGGACAACGAGGACTACTACGGGCTGCTGAACGTGCGCCGCGAGGTGCGGCCGCGGGGCCGGGAGGGGCCGCGCGGGGCCGGGGCCGGGCGAGGCGGGGCCAGACCAGACCCTCGTGCCCGCTGCAACGGGAGCGGCGCCCCTGCGGCGCGTCCTCCGCCTGGGCCGTGCTGCTGCTGCTGCTGCTGGTGCTGCCGGCGGCGGGGCGGGAGAGCTCGGGCAGGGCCGTGCGGCTCCCGGTTGAGTGAGCGGCGGGTGAGCGCCGGCTGAGGGCCGAGAAATGCGCGGGTTGTTGGGAATTGCGGCGGTTTGTGCGCTCCCGGAGCGCTCCTGATGCAACTCCGCGCACGCGGGGCGCACCCGCCTCCTCTCGGTCGCGGGCTCCGCCTGGCTCAGGCACGGATGGGGAGATTTCCCCAATGTTTCCAATTTGGAAGCACCTACTTTTTTTCCGATTCTGAAAATACCTTTCCCGCCAAAAAGAGGAGGATCGAGAGTCCTTGATTTTACTTTTAAGAATAGATGGGTATTAATTGGTGCAGTTTTGTTACACAGGAACGGTTTGGTACTTAATGGGAGGCAGCTGCTTTTTAGAATAGTAATAATTGGGCAGATCTCCAAAATCTGGATGTAGGCACTGTGCTGGAGTTTGTTTCAGCAAGTGCAACAGCAATATAGATCTATTACATATATTTATATATGTATGTATGTAAATATGTATATATATATATTTATATATGTGTGTATATATATATATATATATATGTATAAAGAGCCCATCAAGCCCATCACTCTGGGTGTGGCCATTGGATTGGACAAAGCTCATACTGAGCCACCACTACTGCGTGCAATAGGAGATCCAGACTTGGAAGCGATTCAGTTTGGTAGCTTGGAAGAATTCCCTTTGGGACTCCTGTCAGTCCCTGAGCTGTGYGGACAGTCTGTTGTGCCTCATGTGTGGAAATCTGCCGCGTTCCCGAAGGAACAGCGTGTGATGGTCAGTTTGCAGAGCTCCCTGGTACTGAGCTCCTTTTAAAAAAATTTCTGCGTGACTCAAGCCYATGTCTGGTTCAAAGCCGGCAGGGCCATGCTTGCACATTCCTTGGGAGCTTTCGTAATTCCCCTCCAAAACGTCAGCAGCGCGCAGAGGTTAAAAACAGAGAGGTGGGAACTGTGCAAGGGTTGTGACTGCTGGAAAAAGTTTAATGGTTAACTGAGCCAGCCTCCCAGAGCAGGACATTCAGGTTTTGTACAGCAGGGAGCTRGACACTGAGTTAAAGGGGTCTGTGAGGGAATAATTCCAGCGGAGAGGAATGTGTGAATTGCCCTTTGCTGATTATTTTCAGCAGTTCTGTCCTGTAGGGGATGCAGGATGAGCAGCATGTCTGGGTGCTGACCTGGGCTTGGAACTACAGTGACCCAACAGAGGTGGGAGCCTGCTTGAAATGGTTTATGATTTAGAAATGTTAGTCTGCTGAAAATGTGGTGCTGTGTTTGAGACCGTAAATGAGGCTGTTTAAACCTCAAGCAGGGAGATAGAAGTTCTTTTAATGTTGACCAGAGTTTTGGTAATAAAAATGTAACTTGCATACAATTATTTGTGACTGCATTTGCTGGCAGTCTAAAAACAATGTCAGRGTTTCTTTAGAGATTTCAAAGAGGCTGTTGCTCGTGGAATATTGAACCAGTGACCCAAACTACTCAGTGATGATGAAATGCCCAATCTAACATTTTATTGAACATGGCATTTATGAAAAATGAACCTGCTCATTTCTATTATATAATCAATAGCACATTAAACCATTTATCATTAATTTGATTTTAAAATGCCATTTTGGGCCTATATGTTCCTCTGCCTTCCCAGTCGAGTTTGAATTTGATATCCGAGAAAGCACAAGGTAGTAAAAAGAAAAAAGGTAATTGTAGCTGTCCTTACTGTCTTGGGACCAGCAAATTTGGYGGCTCCCCTTTTGCTGTATCATTTCAAAATATTAACATGAAACAGTACAAACATGCAGGGAACACATTCTGAGCTGTCCTCAAATCCAAACAGATTCCTGGCATTGAGACACAAGTGAGTGCATTTCTGTGATGGAAACCCTCCTTGCCTCAAGTCCTAGAAACTATGTTACTTTAAGAAATTACCTTTTAGGACCTTCATTTCTCCAGTGAAAGCTAGGACCCTGTGATGGGTTTGCTCCATGAAGGGTGTTAAGAAAAATGTAATTTGTGTCTGTAAATCCACTCCTATCTGAGTGCCTCCCTCGCTGACTGCACTGGGTCCTGACTTTGTCAGCCCCTGGGCATCAGGGACAACCTGGACCATCAGGTTTTGGTTATTTTAATTTGGGTGTTCCTCCAGGAATGGCCTCCTGTGCCCAGGAACTGGTTCTTGCCTGGACAGTTTGGGAACTGGATGGTTTGGCTCTGTCAAGCTCTGCCTGGGGGAAATTCTGGTTCATTTTAGCAACTGCATTTCTGAAAAGTAGTTRTTAAGCAATCTGCAAGGAATGGGCAGGAGCTGCCGTGCAAGGGATGTGGCAGGGTGAGGTGAGAGAGGGGAGATTACCAGGACTCTTTACAGTCTGAAAATAACATTGCTGGGCGATGATAATGGAAGGACCTGGGGTTTTTCTCCATTTATTATGAAAGAGCCATCCATGTCCTTGGAATGAGTCCAGGTGCCACCTGAGGCCCCAGAGTGGTTGTAATAAAGGACAAGGAGGGTTTGTTCTGATGCATTTGGTGTTCTCATGGGTATTTGTCTGTGGCTTTGTGGGCAGATGATGCACCTTCCTCCTTGTAGCACAACACAGACCCTGCTGGGGAGCAGAATGGGGTGCTGAGGAGCACAAGACAGGTGCTGGGATGAGCGGGTTTGTATTTCTTACTTTTGCATCTGTGGAAAGTCAGTGCTTTTGGATAGTTACAGTGTCTCCTTAAGGGTTAAGATTGAAATATGAGTAGAATTGGTTGTGTATCTGTGGATTTATGCATTTTTATCTGAGGCAACTTTGCTTTTTCTTGCTCTTCTGATTTGGAGGGTACAGTAGTTGTGTAATAAAACTGTCTGCCTAATGTCTGAACACAGACTGCTTGGGTGGTGGAGTTTTTACGTAATTTTTTATACCTGGGTGTACACTGATGAACTGTTGAGGTCCTTGTTGTGCTACAAATAACGTGGACAATTCTGGTGTGATAACTGAATATTTTATTAACTTACCTAATGAAGCAATAGCCCATTCTTGGTTTTGGGCTGAAGTAGTGCAATCTAACAGCTGACAGACATCCCTTTCAGGGAGTGACCTTTTATAAATGGCATTGGCTGTCCTTGAGCTCACTTTTGGTGGTTTTCACAGGCCTCCCAGGATGAGCTGAAGGCCGCGTACCGCCGGCTGTGCATGCTGTACCACCCCGACAAGCACCGCGACCCCGAGCTCAAAAGCCAGGCTGAGCGCCTCTTCAACCTTGTCCACCAAGCCTATGAAGGTCAGGGGGAGGCTGAGCTTTGCTGGGGGTCTCTGGGAGAGCTGTAACTTCGTGCTTTTTGAAGCTATTTATTATTACAAAGTAATAATTAAATTTGCTGGTACTTAGCAATGCTGTTTCCTGCTTCTGTCACGTAAGTCAGAGGAGAAATGCCATATAAATGCTGCAGRGAAAGAGATGTGGAATGTCTGTCTTACGTCCTGCATGTTGTAAATGATCTCATAGCTTCCCTTACTTCTGAAAACCTCTTCCATAGGAGAATAAAGACTGAAAAGCTTCAGAGAGACAGATTCATATCGTACTGGTGAACTGCTGCATGCCCAGGTTCTGTTCCCTSTCACCTGCTGTGGTCTCCATTTCCATCAAGTTCTTCCATATGCTCAGACTGAGATGAACACATCTGATTCATAGCAGTTAGGGGTTTTTTTCTTGTGCCAAAGCCCTTTTCAAATACTTGGAATTAAACTGAAATTTACTTAAATCCTAGTGTGCAAGTTGCWTCTGGATTGGAAGCTGATAGGAGTCATCCATGTTACAAACCCAGTGCACCTTGTCCTGAAGCCTAAAGAGAAACTAAAGCAAAATGATGAATGAGTATTCCCCCATTCAACCTCAAATATCTTTTACTCCCCTGGTTTTGACTGATAAGCATTTGTTCCTTACAGTGGGACCTGAATATATGTGGAATCTTTCCTGTTGTCCCTAGCTTAGGTGTTAGGACATGTGGAAGCTTTTGCTGGGAGARCAGCGAAGGTCTAACCTTGACTACATGAGGAACAAAAACTCATGATGCTTCAATAATTCCATTTTAGTGTGGTGAGTGGCCTTACATTAGAGGCAGCAGCTTCCCTTTGAATTTTCTGGCTTTTCACTTGGCTCTGCCTTGCAATGGACATGGAAATTGGTGCTTGTTTAGTACCAAATGTGAGAGTAGTATGTTACAAGCAAAAATGTTGACATCTTGGAAATAAGCTGTTCCACCTCCTGCCTATTTTGCATTTCTCCTCTTCCATCTCTTAATATCACACAACAAAAGATTCACTTTATCAGAATTCGTAAAAAGCAGTTTCTGCCTGTGACATTTAGCAAGTCCAATAATATTCCACTAGATCAGACCAAAACTCAATTACCAGTATAAGCCTCTTTTTGCCTTACTGTACTCCTCCAGCTCCWTGGGGACCCATCAGTTTCCCCACAGCCACAAAAAATACGTGATAATGATAAAGCTGGTCTTGGAACTCTGGAGGAGGAAATAGTGATGATTTTTTGATTTATTTTTTTCTTACAGAAAGGTATGCTTTAGGAGCTTATGCATTTAAATGTGCTTTACCTTTYAGAGATTCTTCCTAATTCTGTGCCCAGTCTTTTTCTAAAGTAACTGTTCTGAAGTCTCCGTTGTATTTTGTGTTGRGTGAAGTTTTGGGAGGTTCAGATTCTACACACACCTTTGCCGTTACTCCTTATCTGATGTTTGGCAAGGTGTGAAAATTGCCTTGTGGAAATTGTTTTGTTGATGCTTGGCATATCCCACGTGTGGGGAAGGATCAGTGGACGTGGATGGTGAGGAAGATCAAAGGATGCACCACAGAGCTTTGAAAGCCAGACAAGTGTGTGGCATTCCCAGGAAGGGCTCAGGGACTGCTCTGGCCAAATTGMTCATGATCCCCATGGTTGTTGGAGAACTTGTGTCACCTTCAGTCAGAGAAAGCAGTATTAGACCCCTCCCTGCATGTTCACTTAGGCTGCATGTCTCTTATGTTCTTTCTACTTTCTTGTTTTAAAAAAAGAAGAAGGAAATACTAGATTTGTTGGGGAAAAAAGTCAGTATGTCCTCTCTCTCAATATAGCATGTGGAAGCATCAAAGGGATTAATGTGCAACTGTAGAACAAGATGTTTCCAGGATCTGTGCTTGAAATCCAAATAACGTGAGGAGAAGACCGAAAACTGAGTTCTCTCCTCTCTTTTGATTTCAATTTACAGTGCTTAGTGACCCACAGACCAGAGCCATCTATGACATATATGGGAGGAGAGGACTGGAGATGGAAGGCTGGGAGGTGAGAGAAATTGAGCACATTATGGCCAGTGGCCTTGCCTAAGCCTGCCTTTATCTGCCGTTGTTGTTCTATCAGCTGCACTGACACCTGGCTGGTGATAAATGCCTCTTGGTTTGAAGGCATCCTTGCTTAGTTATTTCTGTCTCTCTCTGTCCCTGCTGAAACACCGTGATGGATTTGCAAAGAACCCTTTGGTTTCACACTTGACAAGAGAACAATAAACCTGACATTCAGAGTTCCCTGGTAGGATATTACCATGACAGGCAACATCTTTATCTGAGACAAATGTGTCATTATTGTCCATCTAGTTCCATCTTTTTCATCCGAAAGTTGTTTTTTTTCAGCATCAACTAGCTTCTGAGCTTGAAATTACATTTTCTTCACAGACTTTTTGGGGTTGGTTGGGGTGGGGGGGTGGGGGGGTTGTGATTTTGATTTGATTTTGATTTGGTTTTGTTTTACTTGGGTTTTATGGGCTTTGAAACAGAAGTTGTCCATTCATGTCTGCCCAGCTCTTGATTCCCTCGCTGGTATCTCCCAGCACTGTGCTGCTTAAAGCAGAATCCTGTGCTATAGGGTCAAGTCAAGCACCAGGGTCAAGTTTGGAATCAGTTGCCAGAAATGTGAAGCAGATCCAACATATAACAGATATTCTTGAACTGCTTTTGGCAGACTTGATCTTATTTTGAAAAGCCAAATCCAATACTCTTTCTATCCATTCTAAAACCAGGCTCATTCCCTGMCCCATGTCAGGTAAGCAGCTATGGACAAGCACAGCCTAAAATCACACAACTCTCACTGAATCAGTTTACCTYAGGCCAGAGATTTTCAGTCATTTTCATTTTTGTGTCCACATCTGGCAGAGCAGTTAATGGATTACTGAGGGGGTAACAGCTGTACTGCAGTGTCTTGTAGTTGTGGTTGGAAAGCTCTTTGCCCTGGTTTTGTCAAGGGATTGGAAATAACAAAACCATTTTCCCTCCTCTGGGAAGGGGTTTTCTCTTATGCCTGTCCTTCCAAACTCTTGATTATTGGAATTGGTCAGAGTGGCTTTCAGCAGCCAGGGTAACATGTTAGTGCATCCCACATGCATGGGCCTCTGACCCCCCAGCACTGCAATGCCTCTGTCTGGTAATCATTGGTTTTCATTTTTTTTGAGCAGGTTGTGGAACGAAAGAGAACTGCAGCTGAAATCAGGGAAGAATTTGAGCGTTTGCAAAGAGAGAGGGAAGAGAGAAGACTGCAGCAGCGAACTAATCCAAAGGTAAGCAAAGACTAAATCTTGGTCTCAMGAGTGAGTCTGTAATTATCACCACTGTGCAGGGTGTGCTGAGCCTAGGTGAGGGCCTGTAGGAAAGAGCCCCTCAGGTATCTACACTTGCTGCATGACTTGGTTTCTTTTGCATATGCAGTTTCTCTGCATAATATAGGGAGAACAGCTCATTCTTTGAACAATCCCCTACTGAATGTTCTTCTTTTCTTAGTGAAACATGTTGGGACAAAATACCKTTTTCAGCAGTTTTCAGAAATACTTACACTGAAATATTTATGACTTCTTTCCAAGTTTTCTAAATAAAATGTAGCCCACTGCAGTTACCTGACAGGTTTTCCTTTTGGCACTGCTGCAATGTCACAACAATGCAGGGAGCTATTCAAATGCAGSTTGAAAACAGTAACAAATCTGAGGTGGCCCTGAGCTAGCTGGGCAGCAGCAGAGTGAGCAGTGTCAATCTGAACAGGGCTGGGGTCGTGCCAGTGTCACAGTGATCGTGCCCTCAAGATGAGAATCATCCCTGATTCTGTTCCTGTTTCAGTCTGTTTGAGCAGCAGACTCAGACACCAAGGACTCACCTCGCAGCTAACCTTGGCTGGTCAGAGGTCCCAGGAATACCACTGGGATGGCTGGGAGAGATGGACACGGTGGCTTTGCTGGCTCTTGGCTTGATGAGTGTGTGAGGCAAACCCAGGGTTTGTCATGATGGTCTCTGATTGAAGATTCAAAGTTTGTTGAGTCACAAAAATATTGGTTCTCGTGCAGTGACTAACATTATCCAAGAGCTACATCTATTCACTGAATAAATTTGTATGTTAGTGTAAAATCACAAAGTCTTCTGAGTGGACAGACATGGGATTGCAGTGTTACTTAGGACTGGGTCCTAAGGAAAACATCYATCTGAGCAGAGCTGTAATATTTTGAGACATTCACCCTGGCACTGCCTTTGGATCTGCACTGCTCTTGACAAAGCAAATGGACTGTACAGATCCCCAGTCTGTGGGCAGTGCACAGACACCAAGAACTGGTTTGTACTGGAAGGGTAAAGAAGCATAAAGTGTTGTGTGAGTATCTGTTGACAGCTTTATTCCAGGCAGGAAGGGATTTCTGGGTGCCACAAGCCAGGCAAGGCAAACWAGCCAAACTATCCCTGCTGTAGGTGCAGGTGAGGAGGGTCAGAGTTCYCTGAGAGGGGCATGGTTATCTCCCACTTTTTGCTCCGTGTTTCAGGAATGTGACATTTTCCCTGGGCGCCTCGCCGTGGCTGTGAGCTGCACTGTGAGGCTCAGCCTGTGTCCTGGGATAAAATTAACCATCTGGGTGTTTACAGCAATTGCTGTCTGGCAGCCGATGGAAATGCCTCTCCAGGCAGTGTTCCCGTGGAATTGGGGAGCGCAGCTGTGATCGTTTCATACACGAGCGCAAGTTATTTTAAAATTTCCAACGTTTTTGTCAGTTCTATAAAACAGTTCCACAAAAATAAAGCATTTTAACCAGAAATGTTGGGCAATAACCAGATGTAGGCAATTTGGAGGGTTGGAATTGAGTCTCCTATTTGCTTTTAGAGCTTTGTTTTTGCTTTCAAAGACGTGCAGAAGGGTTGAAAAGTTCATTACTAGATTTAAGAAGAACCGCTTCCTGTTAGGAGAAATTAAATTCAGTTATTTTCCCACTGTGGAAGGTCAATATCTAAGCAATGCAAGTCCCTCAAGGCAAAGCCTGGCACAGCATCCAGGTGTCACCTTCCTGAAGGTAGATCCCCAAGAAAAAAGGTGAGGAGGACGTGGATTTTCCTCTGACACATCTGCAAATTCCATCAGTGAAGTCTTTCCTATTCAGAGGGTGGCACATTAAGGTGATAAAGCTGACCCCAGCTCTGATGGCCCCATAGTGCCACTCCTGCTTGCTGCCCCTCTGAGCTGCTGCTCTGTGCAGCACACTGCAGGCWCCACTGACTTCTGAGCGGGTGTTACAGCTCTCTCCTGCTGCTCTTCCTKCATGGAGCTCTCATTTCCCGTGGTTGGAGCAGGTGGCTGATGGGAGCTGGAGCAGCAGCAGTCCCCTCCATTATCCGGTGGCATAGGGGTGCTCTCGTTCCCTGGGAATATTTTTAACTTTACCATCTGCTGCTTTTTCCCATGCTTGYGCCTGAACCAGTTTCCTTGCCAGGATCCACAGACCTCTGAGGGTGATTTCACCTGCCTGGCAGGAGGTGGAGGGTCTGCCCAGGGTCTATCTCTCACCTCAGGGAAAGGCAGAGGAGCAGGAGATCTTCTGGGGAGCAAATGGGGAGACACTCCTTTCCTCTGAACAGATCTTGTAGATTTTCACAGATAGGTTCAGGTGTTTTCCTTTTTTCCTTGGGAGGGCTATTTGCTGTACAGTTGATATGTGTGAAAAAGGAAATCCTAATATTTTGAGAATGTTTTARAGAAAGGAGGTGCAATGAATTTCAGCAATGCACATGGATCTTGGTGTATCTTTCCAAAGGGTGCAGCATCAATTTTGTGGCATAAGCACACCAACCACAAGATGATCTCCAGTGGGTGTTTGCTAGCACAGGACTGCACACTTCCAGACCCTTTAGAGGTTTTCCATTGCTTCCCTCTTCTTTTGGCCTTGTTTCAAGGWACAGCATGGCATAGGAGAGGGCTGAAACTGGAGAAGCTGTAGGGTCTGGAGTCTCTTGAAGGTGACTTTGCAGATGGTTCCTGAAAGTGCAGGAAGGGCAAGAGCTGGTTGTTGGTGCCACCACACAGAACAATGAGTTTAATTGCTCTGAAATTCTCCAGCTGYCAAGGTTGGTTAGTAAACAGCTGGGGCTGTTCCAGGATTCTGCTGGAAATAACCACACCTTTAAATGTTAAAATATTTACTCAATTTTTCTTCATAAGTAATCAGAAAAATAAAAAACACTGAGAAGAGGCTGAAAATCTGCACACGAAATAGATAACCTGGGAGCCCAGGCAGAGAGAAGGTTTGTCAGATCCTGCAATTCTTCTTTTATTTGTGGTCCAGTGTTTTTCCTTGGTAGCTCCACTCTAATCAAAGTGCTCCCTCAGACTGAAATAAGGATTTATCCCATCCTGCTTGACCTCGGTGTGGGTGGGGTTTGTACCTAGCCAGCTTTTCCATATAYACCAGAGTTTCCATATGGAAACTGCTCAGAGTTCAGTCTGTGCTTGCACACAGAGGGGGGTTTTTATTGCAATCCTTATGTTTTATAGGAGCTGGAATGCTGTTGAATGGGTCCATAGGGAAGGYTTCCAAAGCCTCTTGAAGTTATACGACCCAGACAAGGATCTAATTGTGCTCTTTTCAAAGAAACACACTCCTGCAGTTAGTCTGAGGGASCACAGCAGCAGGTAGCCAGACTATTGAGCTGTGGCCTAGTTTTTTGTAGGAATAAGTTTTTCTGTGGTTTGAGAAAGGAAATATTTACCACTTGCTAAAAGTAYTTCTTTGTTGAGCTTTTCTTCTTATCACAAAATATAAGCTGGAAAAAGAAACCAAAATATTTGACTAACAAGGTCAATTGGAAGTGAATGATAGAGCTCAGTAGYAAGTTGGTTTAGGTAACTCATAAGAAGCCTGTAGAGGTTTTCTGACTGGATTCTATTGAAGAAAATCAGTTTCTGGAATAATATTATTTCAACTTTCAAATACTAACAGAGCACACTCAGTTGTGGGGAAAGGAGAAGCCTGCTGTACAAAAGGGTTCTATCTGCTTCTGTAATGTGTCACAATAGAAAAATTACCTCCCGGGATTGCAAGCTGAGTTTGTGCTCAAAAACTGCCTTTTCTCCAGTCTGTTTGATGATTATATTACTGTTTTGGAATAKTTTAGTCATTCACTTTTGTCTTGCGCATTAGGAAATGCATTTTAGASTGGAAAAACTAATTGCAGAACAATGGAAAACTGCACAAAAATGTAATCATACGCAGGGATGGTTTGGCCACTTGTCCTGTGTACACTGGATGTTTGCTAATGCTAAATACTTGTTTCACTTGTCATCCCTCAGGGAACAATTAGTGTGGGAATAGATGCCACTGACCTCTTTGATCGCTACGACGAGGAATACGAAGATGTGCCTGGGAGCAGCTTTCCCCAGATTGAGATCAACAAAATGCACATATCCCAGTCCATCGAGGTGAGGAGGGCAGATGCTGCCATGTGAGAGGGGCCTGAGTGAATGAGGCACCACAGAACACATTGCTCAGGGGTTCTCACGGGGATTTGGGGGACACACAGTGGCCAATGTGTGGGAAGAGACAGCTCAGGGCCAGCAGGATCGTTTCCAGCCTTTAGGAAACCTTTRGGCTGCAGTGGTCCTGCCCTTCTGCGAGCGGGGATGCTCAGTACCCCATTCTCACTGAACAGGGTTTGTGCAGTGGATGAAAGCAAATGGCACCCACTCTTGAGCATGTGTGTAAGGAAAAGAATGGGAAACGTTTCCTCTTCCAGAGAGTTGTAGAAATTTAGTCTGCTAGAGAGATATGARAAAGGTTTACAGCTCAGGGTCAGGACTTTAGGGTGGTATATTGCAGGTGTCAGAAGTGTCTGGTACTGTAAGAATTATCTGAYTTTTTGCCATGCTTGATGTTTGACTGCAAAACCATTTACACTCTGCAGTGGTGATTTTGTCCTTGCAGAACATGCACTAAATGTGTAAACTGGGATCAGCATTACCAGTAACAATATTTTCATTTTTCAGGCACCCCTGACTTCCACAGATACAGCAATACTGTCTGGTAACCTTTCCACCCAGAATGGGAACGGAGGGGGATCAATTAATCTTGCACTGAGACGAGTGATGTCTGCCAAGGGATGGGGAGAGGTAAGAGTACACCTGTTAGCAGTTTTATATTCCATCTATAACCCAGTGTTCTATTTTTGCGGGGGGAGCTTTAGCTGTGGTTCATCTCTCATTTTCTATGTGCTGCAAAATGTCGAAAAAGGAATTCTTAAAGGACTTTGAGACAAAGGGAAGACCAATCCTTGGTTTTTCTTATGTTTCTTCTCCRCTCTCCATGTGGCCATGCAATTTGGACTTCACTTGTGCAGACAGAATTGTTACCTGATGTCTCTAGTCTTTCTAATTCCTCTGTCTGAACTCACAATGCTGTGAGCAAGCACTTTAGGAGGCACTGTGATTGTTGGCCTTTGCTTCCAAAACTGCTTTGCTCACAATTCTCATAACCTAATTTATGTGGGAAATAGTTTGACCCCCTGGCAGATACAGTCTGAGCAGCTTGAAGATCTCATGTTGCACCTGCAAGCTGGGCTGTGTTCAAGATGCTCGTGGCATCGCTGGTATAGCTGGCACTTGCCTGTGCCATCCTTTTTGTATACCAGCTCCTTCTGGTCTGCTCCCTCAGCTTGGGAGAATGGGAGTCTCCCTCTCGTTTGAGATTCACAGACTGGAGGTTTTTKATTTCCATCAGGATTTTGTGAGGAAGGAGTTTTCTCCACGTTCCCTAGAGTGACCAAAGCTGGTGCCAATAGTGGTCATCTGTAGCTTTACAAACTCACTTTGTTTTACCCATGAGCTTCAATTCAGCAAGACACCTTCTCTTCTGARTGCAAAGCTGCAGAAAAGGGAGGGTGCTGAAAGAGGTGGTGAATGTTATAAAACAGCTGTGATGAAAAYGATGCTCATGACATGCTTTGTCACTATTGTAAAGGATGCTTTCTTCTAACACACTGGTACTGTGCATTCCAACAGTTGGAGTTTGGAGCAGGAGACCTTCATGGACCTCTCTTCGGGCTGAAGATATTTCGTAATCTTACACCAAGATGGTAAATATTAGAAAAATGGCCTAGTGGTTAATATTCCACAATAAGGAACTAAATTACTTGAATTCTCTTCTACATTAATTCTGGATTTGGACAATAAATCAGAGCACACCCTGCTCTYCTGGGCACTGTTGTGATCAGGGCARYCTGAGTTAGTTTKGACTTTACCCTGAAAGCCTCGGACATCATGCTCTTTGCAAGATGATCTCTGGGCATTCACCAAAGTTCCTGGGCAAGAGGGAACATGAAGCCACCTGAGAGCCTTGTTTTTTCACTGATGAATCTTTCCTCATTTCTCTAGTTTCATCACCACAAACTGTGCCCTGCAGTTCTCATCGCGCGGGGTCCGCCCTGGCCTCACCACGGTCCTGGCCCGCAACCTGGACAAGAACACCATGGGCTACTTGCAGTGGMGATGGGGCATCCAGTCAGCCATGAACACCAGCATTGTCCGGGACACCAAAACCAGCCACTTCACTGTGGCAATGCAGGTGAGAGCCTCAGCAGGACAGGGATCCTGYCCCGTGTGAGAGAGGGGCCTCACCTCGCCATCCCAGCAGTATTTTGCTTTGGGATTAGAGGTTCAAGGAGCAGTTGGTGTATCCATGTTAGACCTGATGTAGGTAACCAGCTCTGGGCAGAGCACAGCTCTGAGCAGGGTCATAGCTGACGTGGGTCAGTGTAGAGTAGGGTCAGGACAACACAGATGGCAGAGGTAAGTGGTGAGCACTGCTCTGTATTTTTTGCTTCAAGGATGAGAAAGGAAATGGGGGAAAGTTCAGCAGCAGCCAAGGGTACATTTTCATACATTTGTGCCTCTTGTATTTCAGCTGGGAATCCCTCATTCTTTCATGATGGTCAGTTACCAGCATAAGTTTCAGGATGAGGATCAAACACGAGTGAAAGGTTCTCTCAAGTAAGTGCTCAAGAGGGAATTCACACTGCTCACAGCCTGAGGAATCTGTCCTCTCCTGCTGCTGTAAGCCTCCAGGTTCCACACAAACCAAATGCTTCTGTGGCCTTTGGGAATCTGCTTTTCACTCTTTAAATCTGGTAGAGGCTGAAGTGAATGTCTTGGAGGCTTGGCCCTGTGTGCCTCTACAGTTAAGTGAAACTTAAAATAATGTGTGATATCTCTATATCATCCCCAATAAGAAAGCCAGAAGTTTTGTAGTCTGTTTACTACTTGGCAGGCTGGAAGGACTATTCTCACCTTGGAGATAGACTGTGAATCTTCCAGAGGCCCACATCTRCTGCAAACAGATGCATTTCCATTCTTTACTTGTTTGGGAAATACAGGATTCAGTAAAGAGAAGTTCAAGTGTCTTTCTTGTCTTAACAGTTCTTGGTTCTGTCATTCCAGGGCGGGTTTCTTTGGGACCATAGTGGAGTATGGAGCAGAGAGGAAGATTTCCAGACACAGTGTTTTAGGAGCCACTGTCAGCGTTGGTGTTCCTCAAGGAGTGTCCTTGAAAATCAAGTCAGTTCAAGATCACAACTCTGTATTGCAGAGGCTGACCATAACCTCCATGATTCTATTTGCAGTGTTCAGGTGGGAAGGTCCCARTCCCAGGGCAATTCAGGTGTATTGATAGAGCACCAGGAGAGGGTGCAGCTGCCCTCAAYTCTAATGCAAGTGGTGCCCTTCATGATAAGGGTGGATGCCTTCCACTGGTGTTACACACAGAGGTGGCTCAGGCTGTGTGTGTGTGCATCAGAATATTCTGAAATACAGCTTAAAGTGAGATTTGGAACATTGTGGTAAGTGAATGAAAGATTTCTGAAAACATTAGTAGAGCTGGATTTCATTTGCATTATGCTGTACACAGGTGTATGCTTGAATTAGGAAATTACTACCTAATGCAGGTGATTGTACCATTAGCAAGGTGCAGTTCACAGAGGGACAGAGCTCATGTTGTGTGGTGCACTTGAATTGGGGCCAGCTATAGATGGGATGTGAAATTGCTGAAGGACCTGAAGAAYTTAGGCCCAAGGAAACTCATCTTTTCTAAAACAAATGTTGTTATAAGCATCAGAAAAATATTCATGTGCACCTGCCCTGAAGGCCCATGCCAGTGTTGCCCTCTAGAAGCACTTTTTTTGCTTTGATGAGGGTGTTCATCCCCTTTTCTGTTGAAATTAATGACCAAATAAATTCTCCTAAGATTAAAAAAAGAACTTTRGAATGGTCAGGTACTATCACGAGCTGCTACATCAAATTCTGGCTCTGGCTKGTGTCAGCTGCCTTTCCTACCGTTGGTTTTTTCAGTTTATTGAACTTACACTTTTTTGAGCTCCTCATTCATCTCCCCTTGGTTCAGCAGCATGTGCCTCAGCTAAGTGTGCTTCATCAAGCTCTGCTTTTCATCTTACCATCCCTCTGCTCTTCTTTGTTGCAGGCTGAATAGGGCCAGCCAGACCTACTTCTTCCCTGTCCACCTAACAGATCAGCTGCTTCCCAGCGCCGTGTTCTATGCCACCGTGGGACCTCTCGTTATCTACTTTGCCATGCACAGGCTCRTCATCAAACCCTACCTCAGGGCACAGAAGGAGAGGTGAGCTTGCACATTCCAGAGGAAATCTCACCTGGGCTCATTTGTGTGAAGCTGTGGGGCAGTTGTGATTGGGATGGGTAAGCAGACCCTGCCAGTTTCTGTCTGAATCCCAGCCATATATTCCTGATGAGATGTTGYCTTCCTTTTGTCAGAGAGCTGGAGAAGCAGCGGGAGAGCACAGCCAGTGACATCCTACAGAAGAAGCAGGAGGCTGAAGCTGCAGTGAGTCTTCCTTCTGACTCGGTCCTCTTAGTGAAAGGAAACTCTTTTCACTCTGGACCATTCTCTTTTGGCCACAGTGTATGACCCTGCATGATTTCTGCTCTGCTGCTTTTGTTGTGACAGGTCCGGTTAATGCAGGAGTCTGTCCGAAGGATAATTGAAGCAGAGGARGCCAGAATGGGTAAAGATTATATAATTTATTTGTTCTATAAATTTGGAGAGAAGAAGGAACAATGCAAAGGTTTTGTTTCTTCATTCCCATTCCTGATGAGGTGCAGCATAGTTGCTGCTGCACTTRTAGTGGGGGAGGACCTTTGTTTGCCCATTATGATTCAGCTCCAGGTGCCTGAGCTTAGGAAATATCATAGAATATCATCTTGGRACATGGTGTGAGGTGGATCAATAGACTGAAGACAACAGTCTGGATTCACCTCTCCACCAGGAGAGRTGTGTATATAAATAGGTGCAAAAGTTGTAGTCTGAAGTTCAGCTTTMACTGATTTCTCCCCTACATGGTTTGCTCCTGGATCATAGTGGCAATCTGATCTCTGATGGTTACTAACAATTTTCCACAGAATGCTCCAAAGTGAACTGAAATCCACTTGGACTGTCACATCAGTGTGCCACTGAAGTCCTGTCACTCCATTCTAGTGCTGAAGGTTGCTAACAAACACCCAAGTAAAAATGTTGTTCTGTGTTGGGGAAGCATGGGTCCAGGGCAGGATAATTAAATCTCACTGAAAACAAGAGGAAATGGTGGGATGGTCTTTTTCTTAGTGTCTGCCAGCTGTGGTGGGAAGACACTTCCATCACAGCTGTGGTTTCCTGGGAAATGCAGGTCTGATTGTAGTGAACGCCTGGTATGGGAAGTTTGTTAACGACAACAGCAGGAAGAATGAGAAGGTGAAGGTTATAGATGTGACTGTGCCTCTGCARTGCTTGGTGAAGGATTCTAAACTCATCCTCACAGAGGCCTCCAAGGTACGTAACTGTTCAGTCAAAGCCCAGATTCAGGGACTCAAAGGTGTGGCCCAGAATTTCGGTTGAACCATATGTTGTCCTGCCAGGGGATCTCTCCCATGGCTCTGGATCAATTCACAGAAGCCATTTGCTTACTGACTATTACAAATCCCCAGGAATTTCAGTTTCTCTGGGCTTTTCCAGTGCCAGTTGTCTGCATTGTGGGACAGTGGGTGTTACAGACCTTGGGGCTGTACACCAGAAACTTCCCAAACCCCTTTTGGGTTTACTTTTATGCATTGAAAACTTGTGGAGGTGATTTGCCAGTCTCACCTCAATGGCAACAAAACTTTTTTTATGGCACCTTATCCTGGCACTAATAAATGTTTTTGGCCAGCTGGAGAGCTGTGAAACTCCATTCCCTGATGCTTAGTCTGTCCTTCTCTGGTTCAAGGCTGGGCTGCCAGGCTTCTATGACCCCTGYGTGGGTGAGGAGAAGAGTTTGAAAGTGCTTTATCAGTTCCGAGGAGTTCTGCACCAAGTGATGTCAGCTGACAACGAGGCCCTTAGGATACCAAAGCAATGTAAGTAGCACAGACTGCCTAGCATCTTCCTTGGGGAACCAGTAATGGGTAATTTCAGCTCTGGGATTCTGTGATTTGGAATTGGGGCTCCCAGAATGGACTGGCTATGACATTCCACTGGAGTAAGGYCCAAAACAACTCAGCAGCAGCTCTGCAGCTGTTTGTACCAGCTAGTCTGTGTCTTGAACTGGGGATGGAAGCAGAGGCCTTCCACAGGTGCCAATGTTCTTCTGTGCAATTCACAGCTGGATGGCCTCTGGGGACKGAATTGAATGATGGAGGCACATTGGTAGCCTGAGCCAGATTTCTTCCTTGTCCCCATTTATTTTACCTCCCAACATATTCTCCCTGCTGGAATAGCTCTGTGAAATCAATATATGTTTGTGACAACTTTTACTGGCGGCCCTGTGGGTCTGCTGGGTTGGCTCAAGGGCACAGACCTTTGTTTGCCCTAGACCAGCTCCCTGCCCAGTGAGAGCAGCACATCCAGCTGACAGAGCATATTTGAGTTGTGTCTAATTAGCAGCAATGTTCCTGCCTGTGCTGGGTACAATAGTGGATTCCAGCATGTGTCCATCCCTTGTTCTCCCCCACAGCTCACAGGATCGATGCCGATGGCTAATCCGCATCTCTCACGGTACCTGGGTCAACGGAAAAACTGCAAAACCTCCCCCGGACGCTGCGAGTTTGAACAGAGACACTTTTATTTTTACTGTCTGTATAGCAGGCAGTGTCCTGCCGGTTCTGTTAGGGACAAAAGGACAGACCCTGCTGCTCCAGGCGGTTCCCAGGCAATATCTGAGTTGTGGCTCGGTACCCAATAAAGCAGCGTGACTCTGAGTGCACAGTGCTTTCTGCTGGGGCATCCTGCTCCCAGCTGGCCACAACCCATTGGTGCACTCACACCTCTCTCCTGGCGCTCAGCAGGGACAAAGACCTGTTGTTCTCACTTCTCCAAATACTTCCTGGGGTAGGTAACACACCTGTTCATGAGGGGATTTTCAGTTCTTCGGCCATCTCCTGGAAAGTCCCCTGAAAAATCCATTTGGAGAGAGGTCAGCGATTGTTTCAATCTCAAATCTGTGTTTGAAATGCACTTGTTAAGAAAAGTATGTGCTTAAATATGAATGAATTTGCCTTTTGTAGTAACATGGACCTCTTCAGCACCMATCTGTCCAGCTGCTCATTTCCAACACTGCTCTTCTAGACAAGGTGTATCATAGTTTTATTTATTCTTCTGCCACTCACAACCATGTATTGTCAAGGGTTTCCAGAAAAGAGGAAAGCAAGTGAGGGAGAAGGACAGCAATGAATTTAATCTGATTCTGATGCTGCAACTATTTCTTCACATCTAATTTATTTCTAGTAAAAATAGTAGTTCATACAAGTAAASCATACCAAAGTGAGGAGAGATGCAAATGGATAAAGAGCTGAAAAGGTAATGTTCATCTGCCCTTTCTGCAGCAGTTATGGCATGAATTTACTGGCTTTATCTTGCCTAGAAGCCCTGTCAGGGATTTCCAGCAGAAAGGCAGTCCTGGGCTGGTGACACAGCAGCTGGAAACGGCRCCTTGTAGAATCTGCTACACGCTGGGTACATCAGCACCACTGAGGCTTTTCCAGAGAGACAAGGCATCGGGGTAGCTGTTCCTTGGTCACAGTTTTGTTCTGTGTTAGTCCAGACCAGCCTGGACTAACAGCAGAGGGGGAAACATCTGTGTCTAGCCAGTGCATGCAGAGTTGCTCTTGGCAACTCCTGCCATAACTCCTTTCCTGCATGGACCTGGCCCGTGTTCTGGGCAGCCTTGGTTCTCTGTACTCAGGTCACTGCACCAGGAGAATGAGATTTATGAAAAGCTGACTTACTTGAGCCAGTTTGAAAGAGATGCTCTCCCCTCTAAAAAACAAGTTCATATTATGAAGGGATGTTCACTTGTTTTTATTAAAACCAAAACTTTTAGTTGTGACCAGTTCCTGGTGCAGGGCTTTATTTTRTTTATGGCCAGCATTCTGTCCATCTGAAATTAAATGGAAAATGTGCAATAAATTATATTAAGCTGAAAAGCAGCTCCCATTCCCTTTGCATCTGTAGGAAACTCCTGAGATTAAAGCCCCGGAAAACAAGATTTGCAAGTTTTAAGCCTAACGCCTTTCTTCATCCCATCCAGCTCACTGACCTCTCCTGGGTGGGACTGGACAGAAGTCTCCTCCAGTTCCTTTCTAATGTCACTGTACAAAGTGTTTGGTCAGAAGTGAGGAGCCAGCCTGTAGAGACTAAAGACATGGCAGAATAGTCCCACACGAGCATCCCTGAGAGCCAGATGCTGGGTCAGTCTCCCCAGTTCACCTCCTCCTTTCTTGTTTTCTGTGCCAAGTTTTGGTAAGACTTCAAGAGCAGCCCCACTGCAGAACCACAACCTTTACCACCATATTCTTGCTGTGAGCAGCTGCCATTTTACAGCCACAACTCCCCTGGGACTTCTCTTTATCACTCTAGAATTCAGAATTACCAACAGAATTAAAATAGAAGCTCTAAGCAAGCAGAGCTTAGCTTGCAGTGTGACCTAGTGCCATTTCCAAAAGGTTGAGCCACCTTTTCAGTTTGCCAAGGTGTTCAGGCTGCTGCTTTGATGGCACTACTCGTGGGGTTGTGGTACATCCAGGAGCTGCAGGGTGGCACCAAGGCTCTGGCAGCCCTTGGGTGGTTCAGAGTCCTCGATGCTGCCCGGTGGCGGGGAGGGAGGGAGCTCTCTTTGACCACAGCTCCCAGAGTGTTCACAGGGGCTTGATTTGGGTCTGGCCAAGAATCTCATCCTTACCAGGGGGTGCAGTGCAGCCCTAAGGCTGTTTGTGAGGCTGCAGGGACCTGGTGCCAGGACTGTGCATTCCGACACCATTGGCATTGTGGCCTGAGCCCCATCCCCCAGCTCAGTRATYGCAYCCTTCTGCAGGTCCCTGCYGCCTTCAGCCACTCTGGGCAGTTGYTGCCTCCCATCCCTCCACCCTGCCCAGCCACAGGGCTCTGTCMCCATGTCCCACACTCAGCAGAGCCTGGCAAGGAGCAGCTGCTCCAGAAAAAGGYGGAGATACCTGCCAGCTCTTCCTACCCCTGCCTGACTTGATGTATTTTTTTTTTGGGAAGAGCACTTGAAGTGTCCTGTCTTCCTGCTGCCTAGCACAACAGCTCATGCATCATTAAATCATAACAGCAGACTCCTGAGTTTGGAACAAACTCRTTGTTCATTTGTCTCACATTTAAGAAAAAAACATGGTTCATTAAAAGTTTTAATGAAAAAATAAAGTTCTGAATTAAACTATAATTATACATGGCTGAAAGTGATGAACTAAAAGAATGGAGATGTTACTTTTTTATTTCTCTCTGCTGATACTGTAATGTGCTGGACACCATCCACTGGGATAAATCTGAAAAGGGAACAGAACAAGTCAGTCACATTGATTAGTGTTGAACCTCTGTGAAAAAGAGCCAGTTAACTTGACAGTGCACCATTTCTGCCATAAAAGCTTCAGGAACACACTTCACGGAGGTCCAGYTGAACTGCAGATACGTTGTAAACACAGAGATACCAATTTCAGACCAGGTCCAACCCCTGCGCAATTGCAGCCGGGATCTTCCAAAGCATTTCTGGGGAAATGGCAGCACTGGAGAACTTTGGTTATTTTTCTGGCTGCAGAGGACATTTGGGCAGCCATCAGGGGCGAGTCTTTGGCAAACTCCTTGGTGGTTCCACATAGCTTCTGAAGGCAGCGCAGCATAATCGTGGCTGTGAGATTTCACAGAAGCTGGAGTTGGTTTTTTTTTAACCCAGAGTCAGCTGTTACAGGTGGAACAAGACTTTTATCAAGAACCAGGAGGGAACAGTTGCATATCATGCAGTTCTGTCACCCGGCCCCAGGTGCCACCATGTCCTACACCATGGAGCCCCATGGCTATTGGGCTGCCTGAGCCTTTGGCAGTGTCGATGTCTGGAGGGCACCTGACCCTGTGTTGTAGTAAGACCCTCAGTCACCATCACCAGGACGCATCTCCTGGTGAGCCAGTCCTCAGCCAAGGCAGTGCTCCAACGCTGTGTGACTGCAGAACTCATGGGGACATGWTCCTGCTGGCACAGCTGCTCTGGCTGCAGCCGCTGTACCAGCCAGTGCTTCCCTGAGCCTCAGTCTTACAGGACAGAGCACGCACTGTTCCTCAGGCATAACTTCAGAGAAACACCTCAAAACATCAATTTATGTGATCCATGTGGATCGAGGAACAATGCCAGCAACTCCCTCGCCTTGTGTATGAGCTGTGACTTCCATCTTGGTCCTGCTGGGATTTCCCTTGGGCTGAAGCCCGAGGAGGTCCTTTCTGCAGTGCTGGCCAGGGCCTCAGTGCTCTCCTGTCCACCCTGCACCAGCCGGATCCTCATTGCACTTCATCCTGTAGCTTCATTGCCTGCATTCACTTTGATCTGTGTCATTGCTACCAATAAAGATTCTGGCTTTTTGGTTACAGTCCAGTCTCAAACAGAAAACAAAAATCAACTCAGCTGTCGTACTTGGGATGGACATGATCAAATCCCAAACCAGACCTGCCAGGTTCTACATTTGCTTTGGCCCCTTTTACAGTCCACGTTTGAATTCTGGGCTGAGAAAAGGGAGAGTCATCTTCTTAAAACAGCACCGTAGAGGTTAATGAAGGGACAGGAAACTGAGCTGTTTCCCCCCATACACGCATTTGAGCAGATCATGCAAATAAATCACGAAAAATTCACTGTAAGAAGAGACTTTCAAGGAAGGAATCCGATGCCGCTGATCTCCCGTGCTGTCCAGGAAAAGGGCTGCTCTTTCCTGCCAGGGCACTGTCCCTTGGCACAGGCGGGAGCTCCGAGTCTCATTTGCACTTGGATGATGCCAAATGACAGAACTCCCCTATGCTSAAGCCTGTGGAAGCGGCAGCAGATCGCAGAGGCCAGTAGCACTGAGGCTGACTCCTACGGAGCCTTAGGATATCTAAGATTGATCTATATGGACAAATGGGCAGATATAATATCACATTGAATTTAAAACACAGGGCCATTTACTTTTCAGACTCTTCACACAGACTCCCTCCTCCTCCCCTCCCCTTTTTTGGGAGGAGGAGGAGGAGTTTCCTAGCACAGAGAAGATTTGCAGTTTCCCAATAGGATGAGAAAACCTACGTGGCAAAGGTATTGTACATSACCCAGTCATCGTAACCAGACAAAACTCCACCGGGCTCAGAGAGCTTTGCATGTCCCTCAAGCCACAGTCGGCATCTCGCTGCAGTTCTGCCCAGCCGGCCTCTCCCAGCCCCAGCTGCCCGTGGCTCGTTCCTGGGCCACARGCCGGGCTGGGCAGCCGTCCCGCCTGAGCAGCAGCAGTTCGGGGGAGCCCTCCCCGGCCTCCCGGCCAGCACCCACAGCTCGCCCGCCCACGCAGCGCACCAGCACGCGCCTCCCCGCTAGTCCAGAAAGCGCCTGCGCGAGCCCGTCCGGGAGCGGTTCGAACGGCGAATGTCAAACTTGGAGTCCCGGCACTTCTGGCAGATGTAGATCTCTGGGACGTTCGACTTGCGGATTTTGGCGCAGGAGAGGTGGATCCAGGTGTGGCACTCGTTGCACTCGATCATCGGCCTCCCRGCAAAAGGCTTCATGCAGAAGCAAGTGACTAGGTCCCACGAGTCATCATCTGAAAAGASAAATGTCAAAGACCTGTTTTTAGCAGCTGACACCTCTCACACCAGSAGTTTTCTCTCCTTTCGCACTAAATTAACTACCTGGGTTTCAAAGACAGGCACTCRGCTGCTTTTTCTCTTGCATGGGAAGAGACTCTCAACAGTACACAGGAGGCTGTAACCCAGGAGAGGAGARCCAGCTGCTTCTAAAAAGTCGCAGCTTTTCACTCAGTTTATTGCAAAAGGAACCAACCCCCCCTGCCTCCCCTCACCCCAAAAACCCAACTGCTCCTGAATTCCACCCATGCAGTGCTCCTCAGCATTATCCTCATGCTACAAGTAAAGCAGGAAAGAGATTGGCAACAGCACCACTACTTCCACCTGGCTAATCCTGACCAAGCAGGCCACCTACCTGAATCTACCATGATGTCCTCGTCATCACCAATACCGTCCTCATCCCGAAASACCACTTGCTTGCCTTGCCGAATGACTGTTCGTTTGCCCACGCTCTGGATCTCCACTGTCTGCTCGGCTGTCACGGCAGGGTAGGAGACACTGGATGGGGTGTCAGAGTCCCACACCGAGCAGTGCTCAGTCACAGACTGAGGGTCACCCTCTGATGAGGGGCTCATCGGTGTCTCTGCGTAAGAGTCCTCTGCMTCCAGGTCCAGCAGCTTCTCCTCATAGTCCTCCTCTGCAGACACCTCTGTTTCCCTCCTTTTCAGCTTTTTCTTCTTCCTGATCTTATCGATATGCTTTCGCTCTGGCAGGAAGTTGCTGGCCTTTGCCCGCTGGAATAGGGAACCATACGGTTTCGCTCGCTTAAGCTGACTAAAGTTCTTTCTGTTCTTGGTGGGCAGGGAGACAGAGGAGGGGGTGTCATTGAAGCGGGGGTCCCAGCTATCGCTGTCAATCGTGCCTCCAGTGCTGTTGGGAGGGCTGGGGCTGTTCCTCAGCGGCGTTTCCTGGAACACATTGAGGAAACAGGTAACAGCTTGACTTGGAGCACTCGCRTGTGGYRCAAGGCACTCCCCCCTGTCCCCCARGGCACTCTGTCCCATCCCTGAGGTCCTGTCCCCAGGGGTGGTGTGCCATGTCCTCGAAGTTCTGTCTCCCATCCCCAAGGTGCTGAAACCTGTGCCCTGGGAACCTGAGCCCTGTCCTTAAGGCATTGTGCCCTGTCCCATGGCTTGCTGTGCCCTGTCCCCTGAGGTGCTGTGCCCTGTCCCCTGAGGTGCTGTGCCCTGTCCCCTGAGGTGCTGTGCCCTGTCCCCGAGGTGCTGTGCCCTGTCCCCTGAGGTGCTCTGCCCTGTCCCCGAGGTGCTGTGCCCTGTCCCCGAGGTGCTGTGCCCTGTCCCCTGAGGCGCTCTGCCCTGTTCTCTGTTCTCGAGGCACTGTCCCATCCCCTGAGGCGCTCTGCCCTGTCCTCTGTTCTCGAGGCACTGTCCCATCCCCTGAGGCGTTCTGCCCTGTCCTCTGTTCTCGAGGCACTGTCCCGTCCCCTGAGGTGCTCTGCCCTGTCCTCTGTTCTCGAGGCACTGTCCCGTCCCCTGAGGCGCTCTGCCCTGTCCCTGAAGTTCCGAGTGTCCCCCGGGGCGCTGTCGCTCCCGCTCTCCCTACGCGCCGCCCCTGGCTTTCTCCRGCCGGAGCTCCCGGGCCCGGGCAGCAGCACAAGCGATGCCGGATCCGACGTTTTTCACCCCGCCCACGCCGGGCACCACCCGCCCCGTCCCCAGAGCCTGCAGCCGCCGCCGTTCCCCTTTTGTTCAGGCCCGGCGCGGGGCCGTGACCGCTAGAGCGGCGGGTCTGACAGAGCAGCCCGGTGCCCCCCGGTGCCCCCCGTGCCCTCAGGGCCCCCCGGTGCAACTCACCTCCTGCGGGTACGGGATGTAGCCGGCGTAGGCCAAGACGAAGGTGCAGAACTTGTTGAAGTCCTCCACGGTGCGGTGCCGCCGGGAGCCGGGGGAGAAGTCCTGCGGAGAGCGGGGGTGAGCGGCGGCCGCGGGGCCGGGCCCGCCGGTGGGAGGAGGCGCCGTCGCTGCCGCCGCGCCCCGAGCCGCCCCCCCGCCCCCGCAGCGGCGGAACCGGGCAGTGCCCCCCACCCCTGCATCGCCCCCCGCCGTCGGTACCGGGCCCCCGGGCAGCCCCCCCGCGCCGGGCACGGTGGGGCGGCGCCGCCGCCATTCCTCGCCCCGGCGGCACAAGATGGCCCCGGCCCCGGCCCCGCGGCGGGGAACGGGCAGCGGGCACCGGCGGCCGGACCGTGCCGGACCGGSCCGGGAGGGGGGACACGCACCCCCTCCCCTTCTGTTCCTTCCCCGCTCCTCCCTTCCCTTCCTTTCCCCCCCGGGACTCCGACTCACCTCCGGGGCGAACGGCGAAGCGCAGGAGTCGGAGTCCATGTCCCGGCGCGGGTGGCGCGGGAGGGGCCGGGGGGGCGACGGCGGCGGCAGCCGGGCAGTGCCGACACCGCGAGCCGCTCGGTGCCGGCGGGAGGCGGTGAAGGGGCGGCCGCCCGCGCGGGGCCGCCGGGAGCCGTAGTCCGGGCGTGCGCAGTGCCGGGCGCGGGGCGCGCTGGGAGCGGCGGAGGGGCGGGGGCGGCGCCGGGAGCGGTGAACGGAGCGCGGAGCGGAGCGCGGAGCTGGGTGGAGAGCGGACCGGTGAGCGGGGCCTGAGGGGAGATCTTACCGGCTGGCTGCGGGCTCGGGCGGGAGGGGGCGGTCCCGGGCTCGCTGTGGGGCCTGGCTGGTGGCGGTGGCAGAACGGGCAGGGCGCCGGAGCGTCTGCCCCGAGCCGGACCCTCCGCCCGCGATAGCAGCGGTGCCCGGAGCCGGATTCAGAGCGGGACGCCCTCAGCGCTGCCCGCGCTCGGGGCCGGCCTTGTGTTCTCCCGGTACCACTGGGCGGCTCCCGCTGAGGGCCAGCCCGGGGCCAAGGGCGCGGGGGTTGGCGCGGTAGCTGCGGGGCCCTGGGACCCGGCCCGAGCGGAGCCGCGCCGCCGCGTTACGCAACGGCCGCTCCCGGGGGACACCGGACGAGACGGGCTTCTTGAACCCACCCGCCGCCTCCTTGCCTGATCTCCACCTCCCTTTCCCGGCCGGGGAATCGCTCGGGGGTCGGTCCCGGCGGCTCCGCGCAGGCCGTGACCCAGGTGCGCTCCCCGCAGGCACGGCATGGCGACGGGCACCGGCGGAACGGCAGCGGCAGCCTCAACGGCGGCGACGGGAGAACCGGCACACGCGGTGTCGCTGCTGCGGGGTCTGAGCGCGCTGAGGGCCGAGCGGAGCCTGCTGGACGTGACGGTGGTGGCCGGCGGSCGAGAGTTCGGGGCTCACCGCGCCGTCCTGGCCGCTGCCTCGGGATATTTCCGCGCCATGTTCGGCGGGGCCCTGTGCGAGTCGCGGGCCGAGCGTGTGCGGCTGCACGGAGTCGAGCCCGAGTGCCTGGGGCGGCTGCTCGACTTCGCCTACACCGGCCGCGTGGGCCGGCTGGGCCCCGACATCGCCGAGCGCCTGCTGCGCGCCGCCGACCTGCTACAGTTCCCCGCTGTCAAGGAGGCTTGCGGTGCCTGGCTGGCGCGGCAGCTGGAGCCCGCCAACGCTCTGGACATGCAGGACTTTGCGGAGGCCTTCGCCTGCCCGGAGCTGGCGGCTGCCGCCCACCGCTTCGTGCTGCGGCACGTGGGCGAGCTGGGTGCCCAGCTGGAGCGGCTGCCGCTGCCGCGCCTCCTCTCCTACCTGCGGGATGATGGGCTCTGCATCCCCAAGGAGGAGGCTGCCTTCCAGCTGGCGCTGCGCTGGGTGCGCGCTGACCCYGCCACCCGCGCCCCGCTGCTGCCCCAGCTCCTGGCCCACGTCCGCCTGCCCTTTGTGCGCCGCTTCTACCTGCTGGCTCATGTGGAGAGCGAGCCGCTGGTGGCCCGCTGCCCTCCCTGCCTGCGCCTCCTGCGTGAAGCCCGTGACTTCCAGTCTGCCCGCCTGGACCGCCACGACCGGGGCCCCTGTGCCCGCATGCGCCCCCGGCCCTCCACCGGCCTCGCCGAGATCCTCGTCCTCGTCGGTGGCTGYGACCGTGACTGCGATGAGCTTGTCACCGTCGACTGCTACAACCCACGCACCGGCCACTGGCGCTACCTGGCTGAATTCCCTGAGCACCTGGGAGGGGGCTACAGTGTMGCTGCACTGGGCAACGACATCTATGTTACTGGTAAGGCACACAGGGAGTGAGGGGAACAGCAGGGTGGAATGGTCTGTGGAAAATGTGTTCGTTTTAGTGGTGACATTTGTTTTTTCCTGGGTAGCAGAGTTTGGGACTCGGCTTGGGTGCCTGCAGCCTGCCAGCAGGCATGGAGACTCCTGGAGTCGGTGCTGGATTTAGCAGCTGGTCTCAGTCCAGSAGCTATTTTGTCATGAGTAATGCTGCTGAGCACGCTGGCAAAAGTCACAGATCTTGTAGTGAGAACTTTTTAACTGTCGCTGAGGACATGGGTGACTTAAGAGGGTTTTGAGTTTCTCTCTTAGAAGAATGTGTTCAGGTTCAGAGCCCCGTGAATCACAAGCCAGGCGCATGCTTGAGGCACAGGCTTGTCAGAAAGCCCCACGTTTCTTTGCCAGCCCTTGTGAGTCACAGTACCTTCCCCTGCACAACTCTTGCCTCCTTGCTGGGGCTACAATTACTTTTGTCAAGGTGACACCAATATGTAAATTTGGCTGTTAAGCTGCATGCAGATGCCTCCTTTGAACTACATCCCTGTGACAGCCATAAGAAACTGAGGCTCAGGACACTGAGTGCTGTGAACCAGCGTGCCCTGGGTGTGCAGGACACACTGGCAGAGCTTTGAAAAGCAAGTCTTATGCAGGTGAACAGAAATCYGTGTGTTCTCTGGTCACAAGTAGAAAATAAGACCCTGCTTTAAGGGCAGGGTTGTAAAAATGACCGGCTACCACATGGACGCGGATTRTTTGTACAGAAGCCCTTACGTCCCGTGGGAGCTTCCTGGAGTGATCCCAGGCGGGTCAGTCCTGCTGGGAGCTGCGTGCAGGCTGCTGCTGGGGATCCTGGGTTGTTCTGGTCACTGTCAGTGTGATGCAGGCAGGGCTGGGAGGTTCCCGAGCTGGAGGCAGCACCACTGCCTTGGCAGCTTCTGGGCAGCGATGGAGGGGAGGGCTGCAAATGGGACAGAAATGGGAGTTTAGAGGAGGCACATAGTGAAACATGGGAGACTCATTGTGAGTCACAGCAGGATACGGACTGGGAACAGCATGGGAGAAATCCTCCTTGGCTTGCTGGGAATGAAACAGTGCAACACTTCCATTAAAATTCTTGTGGCACACATGCCAAGCCAAGCTGTCTCCTCTGCCACTCTTCCCTTTGCGGAGCCGGGCTCTGACAYGTGTTGTGCTGTGCCACAGGGGGCTCGGACGGGTCCAGGCTGTACGACTGCGTCTGGAGGTACAATTCCAGCGTGAACGAGTGGACRGAGGTGTCACCCATGCTGAAAGCCAGGGAATACCACAGCTCCACAGTCCTGGATGGGCTGCTCTATGTGGTYGCCTCTGACAGCACAGAGCGCTACGACCACACGCTGGACAGCTGGGAGGCCCTGCAGCCCATGCTGTACCCCATGGACAACTGCTCCACCACCTCGTGCCGTGGGAAGCTCTTCGCCATCGGCTCCCTGGCTGGCAAAGAGTCCATGGTCATGCAGTGCTATGACCCCGACAGTGACCTCTGGTCCCTTGTCAACTGTGGCCACCTGCCACCCTGGTCCTTCGCCCCGAAGACTGTGACGCTCAACGGCCTCATGTACTTCATACGGTGAGTAGCGGGAAATGTCACCTCTCTCCCTCCCTATTCCCCCGTGAGGAGAGCCCAAAGCTTCCCTGGGAAGGTGGATTTTGCAGGCAGTGGAGGGAGGGCATTGTTTTGGGATTGCATGGCAGTGCTTCCCCTGATGGTGCAGGGAGGGGTGTAACACCTCTTTCCTTGTGTAGGTGGGCCTCAAAGAGCTRCCCATAAATTTGAAAATGTCTGAGTGTAACCCAGGGCTGGGTAACAGGCAGGTGTAAATCTGTCTGAAGTCAGCAGCGCTGCTGGGAAATTGGCTTCTCRGTTTCTTCAGCTCCTGCTTCAGCCCCCCTTGTTGCTATAAATAAGCACATAAGCTCCAAGAAAACGTTAAACTCTAGTGCAGGAGAGGACGTCTTCYGTCTCAACAGAGATAAGAGGGCTGAAGATGAAGTGATTGGTCACTATTTTTAAGCACCTTTCCAAATTGGGACTTAATTACCCATCCGAAGCTGTCCTGGTGGCGCAAATACTTCAGTTATCCGCTTAATTAAAAATAAACGGGAAGGCATGCTAGGGCTGGAGCATTTCATCTCCCTGTGTTGACTCTRAGCAAACAGAGACTTCTGTGATGGTCCCCAGACACTTCTCTTTTTTTAATCTTCTCTTGGCTTTGCATGAAGTAGCAGCTTTGGCCCAAGACTTTTTATTTGATTCTTTCAGGTCCAGCCAAGTGTCTTGCTGGCAGCTGTTCTGGTCAGCTGGTTTCAGTCCATCCTGCYGGGGTGTTTCAGCTGCTCAGCTCCTTGTCACAACCTGATTCTATAGAATTTCCTTTTTCTTATCCATTTTTAAATACTGATGATTGACACTTCAGGATTTRGGATCACTTGAGCATCTGCAGGAGTCAGTGAGGAGATGATTGGGGWTAGATGTTCTTCCCTCACCTTACATGCTGCACGTGGGCTGTTCCTCCATGTAGAGCTGTGGGAGAATCTTAGCAGGGCAGAGGAGTAGGTTGCAAGTAAAAGTGGCAAATTGGTTTAATAGCTCAGGCTAAAGGCTYTCAGTGATGATCCCTTGTGCTGGGACTAGTTTTATGCCTGTTATAAAGCACAGCARTGGGATGCCTAAAACAAGGCTCACCTGCAACAGAGGCCAGACAAAGTTAAGGTATTAAAAGCAGACAAATTTAATTCAAGCCTACTGGTACATTAAGGATAGACAAGGCTTCCTCTTGAGGCTACACCCAAAATGGACATCGAGTCACAAGAGCTTCACCTTTTATAATTTCTGCCTTATTAACATATTGGGCCCCAATTCTCCAATGACACCTTCAGGTGATAATGACAACCACTCCAAGCTTGCTCCGCCTAATTCACTGTTGTTTACATATTTTGGGGCTCTGAGGCAGCGAAGTGTCCTTGGATTTTAGGTCCAGAGAGGAATTGTTTTATCTAAAGATGTGAGAACAGCAGCCTTAGTGCTGTACACTAAAGAAGTACAAGAATACAGATACATGAAAATAGAGAAGCTAAAAATCCGAAGGCATCAAGTGAGGTTCAGGTGTTCTCTGCATTTGCCCCAGAGTGGGGAGAGGAGGCCCTGCTCTGGCTGCTGGCCCTGCCTGGAGCTGCCTTGCAGCATCTTGATCCCTTCTGCACCAGGACTGTCTTGGAAGGACTGACAGCTCCTCTCCAGCTGCCCTGACCTTGTCCTGCATGCATTCTTGTGTCAGCAGCGTGTGTCTCTAAGTCACAAACATCCCTCACCTGTCACTGTCACCCTCCTGTCTAGCAAGCAGGGCGGGTGAGAGAAGCCGTGGGGGATTACGCTGCCTCTCCAGCTCTTCTCTCCCCCTGCCCGCCTAAATTTGGCTTTGGCGAAGAACTCGAATGGAGTTTCTAGAATGCAGAAGAGTAATTTTGTGTTCTCTCCTCCAGAGACGACTCAGCTGAAGTGGATGTTTACAATCCATCAAAGAACGAATGGGATAAAATCCCTGCCATGCTTCAGGTATGATATTTGCCCGTCTTCAGGATGTCTTAATTATTACAGATGGGTTTAATTTACCTGTGGAAAACCAAGKTATTTTTAGAATCAGAACCCCTTGCATGTGGTGCTGGTTTGATTGTGTTGGAGTCAGTATGAAGGCACAGTCTTGGATGTGGTGGCGTGGATCTGTAGCCCAGCACATGAGAGCTGTGGGCAGTGYTAGTTCAGAGCCCAACCTGCAGCTGGTGGGCATGAAGCTCCCTCTAAGGAACAGCTCCCAYATCTCACCACCCCCTCAATCAACTGCTGGATCAGGGAAACACCCCCTGATCGTGGTGTGTGTTTATTGTTGTTTCAGGTTCACGTTGGGGGAAGTGTGGCTGTGCTCGGTGGGAAGCTCTATGTGTCCGGGGGCTACGATAACACGTTTGAACTCTCAGATGTCCTGGAAGCCTACGACCCTGAGACACGAACATGGAGCGTGGTGGGCCAGCTCCCCGAGCCCATCTTCTGGCACGGTAGTGTCAGCATATTCCGTCAGTTCATGCCAGAAACCACACAGGAGGACGACAGCATCACGCTGGACAACACCATCAGCTTGAGCAGGCAGAACCAAAACCTTCACAACCAAAACCTCAAYGAGCTGCCTTAGCACAGGAAGCAGCTTGGCAGAGTCCCTCATCTGAAACCTGGGCTGCTTTGGGAGAAAGCTGAGGCAAACCAGTGCTTGGAAACAAAACCATACTGATCACAGAGGGAGCAAGAACTCTGGCTGTTGGACGTGATGCTGTGGGCCTGCAGGCAGTGAGGATTCCACTGCTTCCCTCTGCCCTTCAGGGCAGGAGACAGCACCACACTGCCCACAGGGACCTGAGAGCTGATCCCTGGGGAGAGCACTCGTGCTGAACCACGCCACAGCACCGCCGCTTATGGCACGTGAGCAGTCACCTTTCGCTGGGAGCTCCTTCACCATGGAACACTTTGTTTGMTACCAAACTCCTTCCTTCAGTTTTTTTTCTTGGGAGGGGTCTGTCTGGTAGGGCAGTGGTCTGGACACCCCCCCTATATTGTGTGCCTCAGAGGGAGAAAGGCTTCCTGTGCACGTGTTGGGATTGAAAGGTAGTTATTTTAGGGTTTTTTTTTTCTTCTTATTTGGGGTTTGTGGTTTTATTTTGGCCTGTGTAAGATTTGCCTTTATACTTGCCCAAGTGCCGTGGCCAGGTGGGCTGTATATCTACCTTTGCTGAAGAGCACCTGCGTGCAGTTTACTCGTGGAATGTTTCTGGAAGAAGCAAGCAGCTGCAGCACAGCTCCCTGAGAGCAAGTGCCACACCTTCAGGCGAACCCTGAAGTGTGGCAGAAGCTGAGGTGTGGCTGGATGCATTTGCTTTTTTGRTCTTTAAATTTTAGCAAATAGAGGAAAAATTTGCATTTTAACTAAATTCAGAGATGGAAAACCCCATGTACTCAATCTCTCGCCTCCAGGCTTGCCCCTGGATCAAGGAGCATCCGAGCCCCATCTCCACAGCATCAGCGTCTTCACAGCTTTACGGAAACGTGTTTTGCCTCAGTGCTGTCTGACGCTGCTGCACCCCTCAGCCGCGGGGAGCCCGGGCTGTTGTGCAGTCTGGAACACTGACAGTGCCTTGAGACCGCCGTGTGCCGGCGGGGAACGCGCACAGCCCGGCGCCGCTRCCCCTCGGTGTCACAGCCGTGGGCACAGCCTGGCCGGGGGGTGCAGGGGCCCACAATTCGGGGCAGCTGCTGCTTTTTTGGGAGCGGTGGCTGATTCCCGACGGCGCCGCAGCCCMAGGCATTTCTGCTGAGCTATAAATAACGCACCCCGGCGCACGCGGCCGCACTTCGCTGCTGGACCCCCAGTCCCACCCGCTGAGCAGCTACAGATCAGTATTTATTTTTTTGTAGAATTCATTGTGTTGAGTCYTCAAGTACAGTTGAATTCCATCCTTTGAAACAAAGGCATTTTACATTTGCAGATAATGTATTTTTATTCTCATAGTTTGTTTTTAAATTTACTTGCAGCAGTCAAGTTAAATAAAACCTGTTACACAATTCTGTTTTCTGTGAGGGAATGGGGGGCCTGGAATGAGATTTTTGTGGAAGTTTCTCATTCCAGATATGCTTAAACTGGAGCCTCTCTGCCTCCTTGGCGAGTAGAGGGGGAAAGGGGAGAGAGCATGGCTGCAAATTTGGGGTGTGGGGGTACACAGAGTGATCTCCCCCCACCCTGGCACCACTCAGGTCATGATTCTCCCTCTCCCAGCAACCCCATATTGGGTTATTTGGGACAGAGTAAGTCCCCACACATGAGCACAGGAGCGCAGGCACTTTTYGGCTGCTGCAGTGTGTTTCAAGTGAACTCAGAGCTCCTTTATCCCAGTGCTGAGCAGACAYGGGTCATGCCCTGCCTTTAATGGGGGAAAAAAACAGCAACTGTCAGAAGCTTAACAAAACAAAGGAAAAATAAGGCACAAGTTAAACGGAGGAGTTAAGGAAAGGGCAGAGCCGCTCTCTGTGGGGGAAGGTGAGCTTTAATCACAAGCAGGGTGAGAGGGCTGGAGGAAAAGGGGTGGCAGCACCAGTTCCTCCGGCTTCTGAAAGTGATTCACAATATGACACAGGGAGGTCAGTCCCATCCCACTGCACGCCACACATGGACACTGACTGGAGTGCCCATTTTGAGACATTTTTTTCATTTGACACTCCATCACAATGTCATGGTGACTTTCTTTCACTGCAGCCTGGGATGGGAGATTGGCAGAAAAGGAGAGGAGGGGGCAGCAGCACAACTCAACAAGTATGGCAGAAAGTGGCTCAGCTTCACGCTTTACTGTGTTTCATGGGAAGGGGATGGGTGGCCACACTACGTCTCACAGTCTTCAGGAATCGTCGTCGTTATAATCAGCGATTGCTCAATCACATCCGCTGGGGAAAAGGTCTCATTTGAGCAGAGTTTCTGCACAGGGACCTCCTCGGGCAGTGGCCCACGGGCCAGCGACTCCACAATCACCTCAGCTGAGCCCACCTCCAGTTCTGGYGGCGGCTGCAACACCACCATCACATCCTTCTCATCCTCGATGATCAGGTTGCGCAGTTTCCGCTGCCGAGGGTTGTAGTTCTCTACTCGGTCATGGATCTCCATGTGGCGCCTCAAGTGAGCCTGTGAAGGAAGGGGCATGGGGAGAGGCCCAGTGGGTATGCAGTGGGTGTGAGGGCTGGCTCCTAGCTGCAGCCCAGGGGCCCTGGAGCCAGGGATGACCTCACCTGCCGTGTGAACTTGTAGCCACACTCAGTGCACTCGAACTTCCTCACTCCYTTGTGCCGACGGACATGGACACGCAGTTGTTCTACCGCTGGGAAAGRGAAGTGAGAGCCCGTTGGCAGCAGCTCCGTGTCACGCACGCTCACAGCAATGCCAACCCACCCACGGGAAGGAGGCAGCTCCTGCAGATCCCCACGAGAGCTGGAGCCCCGGCATTACCTTTGAAGGTCTTCCCACAGATGTGGCAGAAGTGGGGCCGCCCCTCCTGGTGCCGGCTGGCGACGTGTCTCAGCAGCGGCCCCTTCTCTGTGAAGCGCTGCTCACAGAACTCACAGCTGAACGGCCGCTCCCCAGTGTGCGTCCGGTTGTGCTTGTCCAGGCTCGCTGCCGTTAGCAGGGGGAGAGAGACAGAGTGGCTGGTCAGAAGCACAGCCCATGCACCCCCATCCCAAGGGCTGTTGGGCTGGGCTGGGCTGRCCGCAAAGGCAAGAGCAGCACAAGGAGTAGCTGCCTGCTCCATCTAAAGGTCATGAAGAACATCAGCTTGTTCTCTGCTGTGAGGGCAGTGCAGGCGACAGGAATGAGCTTTCCTCGGTGTCAGCCTGCACTCACAAAAGCATGGCTTTTCTTCGGGGGAAGCTACCTTGTGAATGCCCTGGATGCTGGAGCACAGCACTTGGCATGACCCACCCAAGCCACACGTGGAGGTACCTTGTGTCCGGAAGGTCTTGCCGCAGAGGTGGCACTGGAAGGGCTTCTCACCGGTGTGTGTGCGCAGGTGCATGTTGAGGTTGGCTTTCTGTGTGAAGGCATGGTGGCAGAACTCACACACRTAGGGCCGCTCGTTCCTGTGGGCAGGGAAATGTCACCATCACCTCTGCCAGCTTCAGCCCCTTGGCTCTCAGTCCAGCATCTCCAGGAAGAGGGTGGCTTCCAGCCAGCCCCCAGGGTTGCAGAGCAGGGAGTGCACCCAGGAGAGCCAGGGTGACATAAGGGAGGAGAGGGGTCACATTGTACCTGTGCTTGGCCTTGATGTGCATCTGGAGGCCATTGCGGCTCGAGGCCCTGTGCCCACACTCCTCGCACACAAACAGCTTCTCTCCACGGTGCTTGAAGGCCTCGTGCAGGCGCAACTCTGTCCGGGACAGAAAGCACTTGGAGCAGGTAGAGCACTGCAAGGCCACAGGAGAGAAGGGGTTAGGGTTGGGGTACACCCACATCAGACCCATTCACACCCAGCCTTTCCCCAGCTGCTCCAGGGCCCTTCCTCCAGATGCCACAGCAGCATCCCTGGCTCAGAGACACCCAGTGAGATGGGACAGCCCAAGAGAGGTGAAATGCTGGTCAGTGCTTGGATTTGTAGGCTGCTCCTGTACCCAAAAAGCCCATTCCCAGCAGCTCTGTGCCCCACCCAGTCACTAACAGAGCCAGACAGAACATTGTACCATTCCCAAGGACAAGTCAGGACGCTCAGGATCACACCCAGCCCAAAACCCCTGGTCCCTACCGCATGAGGCTTGGGTGCACCATGCAGCTTTATCATGTGGCTCTGCAGGTCCTTCTTCTGCATGAACTGCTGCGAGCAGGAGGAGCACTGTGAGACAGGAGAAGGGCGTCAGCTTCCAGCTGCCCCCRAAGAGTGGTTTCAGAGCAAGGAGAGGACCAGTGGGGCAACAGAACGTGGATTCTTGGTACAGCCACAGGAAGCATTTGGCCATGGTGCCTCCCTGGATCACATTTTGGCTCAGAGACAGGGAATAACCTTCGGTGAGATATCATGGACCAGAGATGGGAACTGGTGCACTCAGCTCTCAATGGGCTCAGCTGCCCCAGAAGGGAAAGGCTCGCCCCTGCTCCATGCCATGTCCAGCAGCATCCATAAGGATGATGGATGCAGGCCCTGCTGACCTTGTACGGCATCTCCCCAGTGTGTGACACCATGTGCAGCCGCAGCTCCATCCGCCGCTTGAACACCTCCGGGCAGGCCGAGCATGTAAACACCTGTGAGAGATGGGCAGTGTTGGCTTCCAGAGCCCAGCCTGGAGCCCACAGCTCAGCCCTGCCCAGCTCATGGCACTGTGACCCAGCTACAGCRTCCAGCCCGCASCCAGAGGAGYCAGATCTTGTACAGTGCAGTGTCCTGGGGTGCTGGACACACAAGTGAGGGCTGTGYTGTGTATCAGGTGTGAATCCCAGCCAGAGGGGCCCTGGCTGTGGCGGTCCTGGCCATGGAACATGTGCCACACGGTGCCACATGGGTCTGTTCGGAGCTGAGCGTGGGCTGGGGCTGGAAAAAGGCTCCAATTCCTCTCCTGCCACAGAGGAGCTGTGCTCCAGCCCAGCAGGGCAGCTCCTGGGCGTACCTGTTCCGATCGGTTCATGCAGTTCCTGGCTTCGTGTTCCAGGAGATTCTCTTTTCTAAAGTAACATTTGCCACACTTGGAACACTCAAATGGCTTTTCTCCAGTGTGTTTCCTGAGGGGATGCAAATACAGAATCYCATCACTGCCTGTCAACAGCATCAACAGCATCTGTAGAGACAGGTCCAGGAGGTCACATAGAAAGGTGAGGTTGGTACTTCCCCCTACCCCTGCAGTGCTACTATTCACAGCTGCCTTAAACCTGCTTTTATGCCACGTTTGTGTCCCCTCAACAGCACAGCTGTTGGTGCCCACTGCACTCCAAAAAACATCAATTCTGCAGCGCCAAGATTCACCCCCAACAGAAGTGAAGCAAAGCTTGAGCCCTCACTGCAGGGCCCCGCCCTGCTCTCAGTGACCCACCCCGGAGCTCTCAGAGAGCCCAGCCATTTGTCCCCCACAACCCCTGAAAGTCACCCCAGCCCGGGCCAATCTCAAAACCCAGGAGGATTTGCTGTAGCCCACCTGCAGCCAGCACAGCCCACAATGAGCTCACAGCCCTGAGGAACGTTTCACAGACATATAAACCCTCCCCCAGGCCAGAGCACCCCCAGGGGCAAAGRGGACCCTCCTTTCCTACCCCGGGGGATGCCGAGGTGTTGGGACCAGCTGGCAGGAATGGGGCTGCCCTTTTTCCCACCCAGGGAAGGGGCCGAGCAGTGGGGCCGGCGCGTCCCCCCAGCGCGCAAGAAGGAGAAGCCGGAGCGTTTACCTGTTGTGCACTTTAAGGTAATATTTGCTGAGGAAGGTTTTATGACATGTGGGACACTCGACCGGCACCGCTGTACCTTTTCTGCTCACCGGCGCTTTTCCCGGGGCGGGGGGACTCTTTTTGCTCCGCAGCGCCTTTTTCTCGGGAAGGAGCTCGGCGTCGCCGTCCCCCCGCCCGCCGCCACCCACCGACGCCTCCTCCGGGGCTGAGGGGGAGCCCTGCGAGGGAACAGCGGCGTCACCGCGCCGCCCCCGCCGGGCCCCGGCCCCGCCGTCCCCCTCCCGCCTCCCTCACGCACCGCCTGCCCGCCGGGCTGAGGGGGCGCCGCGGGCTCTGGGCTGGCGGCGGCGGCGGCGCGGCGGGGCCGCGGGCGGAAAGCGCGGCACAGCGCTACGGCGTCGGGCACACCGAGCTGCTCGGCGGCCGCCAGCAGGCGGGCGCGGTTGTGCGCCGTGAGCGCCAGGCGCCCGGTGTAGAAGAAGTCGAGCAGCAGCTGGAAGGTGTCGGCCAGGCCGTCGGGCAGCGCCACGGGCCCGCCGGGGCCGCGGGCGCGGAAGAAGCGGGAGCAGCTGGCGAGCACCGGCCAGTGAGCGCGGAACTCGCGGCCGCCCACGCCGAGCGTGGCATCGCAGAACTGCCCGGCCGCGCGCTGCCGGTTCAGCTCCCGGAGCACCCGCACGCTGTGCGCCGCCGCCGCCGCCATGGCCGCGCTCCGGGACCCGCCGGTATCCGGCACCGCCGGACGCAGCGTCACCGGGCGCCGGCAGTGACGCGCTGAGAGCGCGGCCGGGGCGGCTCGGGCTGTTCGGGGCCGAAGGTCGGGGAGGCGCGGTGCGAATCGAGCCCAGCAGCCCAAGCTCGGTGCCCGCGGATCAGGCGGCGGCCCGGCGGCGCGTGTACTCCTGGATGGCCATCTGGAAGTGTTCGGCCGTGTTTTGGTGCGGCCGCAGCAGGATGACGAAGGCCCGCGGCACGAAGTACCCGCCCAGCAGCGCTGCGAGCGTGCCCAGCGTGCCGAGCACCCGCACCGCCGGCTCGGCCCGGCCSCGCAGCGCGCCCTGTGAACAGAGCACGGCCACCGAGCAGCTCAGGTGCAGCAGAAGGCTCACGGTCAGGCTCTTGGCCTCGTTGTAAGCGGCGGGCAGATCCGTGCCCGCGTAGCTGAGCGCGAAGCAGCCGGCGCTGAGCAGCACCGTGTAGGCGGTGGCGGCGTCGGCCGCGGCGCTCGGGGCGCACCCCAGCACCACCCACTCGGCCCGCACGCTGTAATCCCGGCGCGGTAMCGAGGGGCTGGTGGCCTCGGCGACCACGCACAGCGCCACTTGTGCTGCCGTGCTGGCGGCCATGAACAGCGCCGGCCCCCGGCGCCGCAGCCAGGCCTCGTAGAGCGCCGGGTAGCGCGCGTTCAGCTTGAAGATGCAGAGGATCTGGAAGGAGCGGGTCGCCACGCATGAGAGGAAGATGGTGAAGCTGATGGCGAACAGTGGCAGCCGCAGCAGGCATGCCACTCGAGAGGGCTCCCCGAAGTAGCAGAAGAGGCTGCTGCAGGTCAAGGCCAGGGAGCCCAGCATGAGGTAGCACGTCTTCCCACCCGCAGACTTGACCACAGGTGTGGAGGCATTGAGGGTGAAGAGGACTGCCAGCGCTGCTATGAGCAGCATGAGAAGAACAGCCAGGGCCAGCAGCACCCAGGAGAGGGGCTCGGTCCARGACAGGAACTCGACAGTGCGGTTGAAGCAGACCTCACTCCCTTCTGGAGCCCACTCGTCCAGGCCACAGGCCTGACAGTCGAAGGGGTCTGTGGAGGACACGGACACCTCACACACYTTGGACCAGGTAAGAGCTCTGCCCAGTCACCGGGGCTCTGCTCACCCATCGCATCCTGCTCCTTCCTACAGGCGTTAACAGGCCTCGGGAGCAAAGGGGGGGTCTTTTCCCAAAAGACGCTCCCCAGCTACAATTATCCCTCTGGACTTCCCAAAATCCATGAGACAGGGGCTTGGCTGTGTGAGGCTCAGGGCCATGGGGACTGTTGAATGGGAAGGGGCTTTTGCATCCAGCAGTAACCTGGGAAGGACCTGCAGCAGCTGCTCTTGCATGGGACAGGACCATGAAGTGGGGCTTCCTGCTCCACCATCCACAGAGCTGCCTCTGCCCACTCCACAGGCTGAGGGTGTTGAGGGAGCAGCTGCCAGGAAGGGGTTTGTTGTTGTGGCTGGTGACTCTGAGGCAGGAAATCACTGGTGCCTGTCCCAGGAGGGAGACATTTCCATATGCCAGGTGCTGGTGACCACGTAGCGCAGAAGCCCCGAGTGCCATCTGGGGCACAAAGTCAACCACTAGGTTGAATTTCCCTGKCAGAGCATGCGGTGCAGGGAACAGCTACCAGGCCGGACATCCCCATCCCTTGGCCACAGGAGAAGGAGCTCTGTTTGCCCAGGTGGGCTCACCTGTGGGCAGCACTCCCTGGAAAGCTGGGGGYATGGGTTTTGCATACCAACTGGTGAGCAAAGACTCACTGCCTTCAGGTCAGCTCAGAGGTTTTACTGACCACAGGAGGTGAGAGGCTGAGAATGCTGAGACAGGAGCAGGAGGCAGGATGTGGGCAGGGGAGGAAGGGGCAGGAACAGCCCTCGGTGTGTACTGACCCGATGTGTTCAGGAAGGTTCCTGCTGGACACGCCACGCAGCTGAAGCAGCACCGGTGGCGGCTGTGCTGCAGCCGACTCTCCCCTGGCTGACAGGCCTCGGAGCACACTGAGTTGGGAGCCTGCCAGGAGCAYAGATAGGGTCGGGCTGGCAGGCAGCAGCACAGTTCAGGCTCAGCAGCACCCCCCACACTCCGTGTCTGCCCTCGGTTTTGCCCTGCTATGAGGAAACACCCCAGAACTGGTAGCATTGGGGTGCAGCCAGCTCAGAAAGTGAGCAATAAACAAGACTTGGGTGCAGAGCAGTACCTGGCCATCTTTTGTGTGCCACAGGATTTTKCCTGGGTCGATTCTCAGCCTGTCAGGGTTCACACGGAAGGTTCCTATCACATCAGAAGCCCAGTTTGGGCCCCTCCACTTCCACATGACAATGTCATAGCCTTTACGAATGTCCCCATTGTCATCGAAAGAGATTCGGCTCTTGTACAGGGTGAAGTTTACTCGCCGAATCTTTTGTAGGAGCTGTAAAACAAGACTTAAGAGAGGAGYCCTTCCAATGGCACAACTCTTGCCATTGGGAGGGAGATGTGCTGTGTCTTCTTTCCAGCCCCCAACATCTGCTGGAAATCCCGTGAGGGGCTGGTGGTAGAGGAATAAGTGACTAGGATGGAAGTCTAGGTGTAGGTCTGGGCTGCTCTGACTATGAGGGATTTGAGCCTTTAGGAAGGACMAGAACCCCCTAGGCACAATGGAAAAGTACTTCCCTGTGGGAAGGGATCCTCATGGATCGTCTTCCACGAGGTTGCTCTTACCTGCCAGGGATAGACAGTGCCTTTGCTGCAGACCCCCGAGGCACAGCCCAGCAGGTCGTGGAGACCATGGGCCACAGCATACACGGCTGAGTACACGTTGAAGGAGCCTTGAGCATCGTACGTGTCGGGGATGCCGGCGAGCTCGCGGCAGCTGCTGCAGCACTGGGTGCAGTCCAGCCACACGCTCCCCGTGGATTCCCCTCCTGCCTCTGCACTGCTGGCACACTCAGCCACAGCACCTTCCTCTGACACCTTCCAAGCTTCAAAGCGTTCCAGCATTGTGGACTCTGGCTGCTCAAGTGCCATCCCAATCACCCAGCCGATGGTCTGGATGCCAGGCACCGCCCAGAYGGTTTGAGCCAACAGCCAGTCTTCGGAGGCCACCCACACCATTCCTGTGATGTTCCTCTGGACCACCACCTTGAAGAACGGGATGGCACTTTCTCTGTTGGAGAATACGACAGTGACATTGACCTTGACRTCTCTGAGGATTCGGACCAGGTTGTAGAGCTCTGGGTTGCTGGCGTCYGAGTTGGCGGGGATGGTGCCTTTGTATGCCACGCATATGTTGCTTGCGGTCAGCAGCTCGTGCAGGGCATCCAGGCCGGCCCTACCATAGGTGTTGTCGCTGCCCAGTAGCACCACCCAGGTCCAGCCAAAGTGCTGCAGCAGCAAGAAGATGGCCTTCACCTGCTCCCTGTCRCTGGGGATGGTGCGCAGGAAGGAGGGGTACAGCCGCTTCATGCTCAGCGTCTCCGTGGAGGCTTCGTAGCTGATCTGCAAAGGGAGCCAGGGGAAAGGGGGATRTGCTGGCCCAGGCAGCAGCACCCCTGAGAAGCCTGTTGTGGGAAGACTTGGAGCTGGGCAGGCARTGGACCCAGTGCCAAGTGTGCTGCAGCAGAAAACAGCTGTAAGTGATGGCAAGCCAGCCCAGAGACTGCCTGGGAAGGATCCTGGGACAGCACACACAGAGGGGCTGCATGTCCAGCTCTACCAGGCTCCTCAGCTCCGAGCCCACCCTCCCTGAAACCATCAATCCTCAGGATCTCCCTATTCTTCATCAGCTGCAGGAGCTGCACTTACCTCAGGTACAAGAAAGAGGCTGAGGACAGCGGCTGTGGTGAGGGCCAGCCGGGTGCTGTCAGGGCCAATAACAGCCACAGCCTGGGGTTCRTAGTGTTGGAAGCTGGGGAGCACATGGACATCCTGCTTGCCTTTGTGGGCAAGGGCRCACAGCGTGGCGTGGAAGTTGGCAGGCTCAGAGCAGGTGTCATAGATTTCGTAGCCCAGGGTGACATTGGGGAGTAGCGTGCTGGAGTTGTTGATCTCCTCCACGGCGAAGCGCAGGGCCTGGGACAGGCAGTAGCCGTGGCTCTTGAAGACATCACCTCTGTAGAATGGAGAGTGGTTGTTAGGGAGGACAGAGCGCGTTGCGGGCACGGGCAGCGCGGGCACTCACTCGTTGCAGCGGGGCACCAGCAGGCGGGCGGCATCCCGGGGCGCCGCGGCGTGCAGCGGGAACAGCCCGGCCAGGCGGTGATCGCCGCGSAGCGTGAAGGAGGCGGCGGCGGCGGCCGCGCACAGGCAGAGGCGGAGCAGGGCGGGCTGTGGCATGGCGAGGCGGCCCTGCACCGCTCGGGCGGCTCTTAACGGGGCGGTGTCGGCGGGTGGAGCCTTTCACCGGGCGGGGCGGAGCGGTGSCGGCCGCGGGGCGGGCCCGGGAGGCGGAGGAGGCTCGGCGGCCATGCCCGCTCGGCGCAGCCGCCCCCGCCGGGCCTCGGCCCGTGCCCTGCCCCGCGCCTTGGCCAGCGCTTTGACCCGTTCCAGCCGGGCGGAGGCGGCCTGGCAGGAGTTCGCCGCCTCCTTCACTCGCAGCGGGATGATGCCGCCGGCCGAGCCGGGGCTGGTGGCCGTGGAGGCGGCGGAGGGCACGGCCGTGTTGCTGCTGGCGCCGGGGCAGGTGAGCAGCGCCCGCAGCGCTCCGGCTCCGCCGCGCTCCGCACCTCCTGACCCCCCGCTCTGCCCTGCAGGCGCTGACCTTCACCGGCAAGTGCCGCTTGCGCTGCCTCTATGGCGCCGTCCGCCTGCTGGGTTTCGCCGTGGCCTCGCACCACCCGGGACTGCCGGTCTTCTCGCCGACCACGCACTGCGCGCTCAGCCTGGAGGCGCTGCCCGGCGCCCACCCGCCCGGCGCTGCCGTCCGCCAGCTGCGCACCGCCGCCCGCGCCGCCATGCGCTCGCACCGCGTCCGCCGCCGTGAGTGCGGGACGGGACGGGACGGGACGGGACGGGACGGG